GTTTGTTAAAAGACAGGATACTGTATTGTTTCTCAAGTGTTCCGATTTCAATAGTATACATTTAATATTTATATTGGAGTTGGGTATAGAATAGATATTTTTTATATCTTTGTATTCATTAGATGGTATTTTTTAAGGAACTTGTAAAAAATGTTCATATTTCTTTTAGTGTATTTGAATAGTCATATATTGTTAACTTATTATTATTCATAGTATTATTCAAAGAATCAAGCTTATATTGCATGAATTCATTATCAATCTGTAGTTTAGTTAATTCTGATTTGATTTTTTCATTTCTTTCGTTAACCAGTTGTAATTGGTTTTTTTTTTTTTTAATCCTTTATTTCATTTTGAATTATATTTATTTTTTCACAAATTAGTGAAAACTGATTTGTCAGTTTATCATTACTGGTAGTAATTAGATCAACTATTTTTAACCATAGGTCTGTTTTTGAGATGTTGGTTGTTTCTATACATATTAATTTAAATTTAATTGGGGAGTTTAAATTAAATTTCTCACCTGTTTGAGATAAAGGTTCTGTTCTTCTAACTTCTGTATATTCAGTTATTAGATTTGTTTCCAATTCCGATGTTTTTATGTTGTTGTTTAATAGTTTTTGCCGATTAGGAGGTAGTCTATTTCTCTTTACTGGAGTTTTCTGTAGAGGTCCTGGGTTTGGTTCTATTCTGGAGATTATCAGCAACAATAGGATTAACTTATAATTATTCATATTATATAAATATGATTTAGTACTTTTCATATATTAGTATTGATACACAAACTTTGTAAAGTGAGACGAAATTGACGCCAGCTGCAGTGGTGATTGGAGCACCCCCAATACTGCTCTATTGTTTTTATTTTTATTTTTTTCTGAAAATATAAACTTTGGTAAAAATGAATTAATACGTAGCATAAATTTTTACTTCTAAACTTTGATGATTATTAAAAATATCTATTACTTAATTTTTGTATTAATTCAAATTTATAAATATATTGAAATTTATTATAAATTATTTCTCTGCTTACATGATATGCTGTATATAAATATTAAAAAACATTATACATTTTTTTTAAGGTATCTGTAATATTTTCTTGCAATTATGCTATTGATGCATATATGTGTGACAATTTCTAACATTTCCTTGTGATTCATTGTGCTGTTTCTATAGTTCTTTCACTATCAGTAAGTTTCCAGAAAAGTTTTTTGTTAAAAATAAAATGACATACAGCCATTTCCATAACCTTGTTGCTTTTGTCATTCATTGTTTCTGTGCTTTACCATCTTGATTGCATAATGTGTTTGATAGGTAGATTGAAATATTTAAAACTTTTTGTAGAATATTTTACAGAAATTCCAGAGTTTAGATTATATAGAATTTTTTCTTACTCTGCTCTTGTTTTTATTTATTAGATGATATAAATGTTAGGAGTTTTTTTATCTACTTAACATTATTGTCTAGAACAGCATTTCTCAAACTTTTTACTCACATGGCCCAATATATTTTATATTTGTTTGTAATTGTTCTGTGAACCATTACAAACAAATGTTTATAATATAAATTTTTTAAATCCTGGTAAACTGGAGTTGCTGGATATTATATAATGAAATAAAATTATGCATATAATAACTTCTGTGTGTGAAACATTGAGTACCTTTCTATTAAGATTTGCAACAAATAATTTATTTAAATTTTAGTTTTTATTATTGAAATTTAACTATTCAAAAAAGTAAGATTGATGATTGTAAAGAAAATGCAGTTTCAAAATTATTCAGGAGTCTGTTTTACTTTGAAAAATATTACAAGTTTTTTTTATAAACTTAATGAATACTTTTTTAAATAGTTCTTTTCAGATTGTAAGATTTCATTGAATTCATTTTGTATATGTATATATATAAATTCTTAAAAATTATTTAGTGATCCACTAGTGCCAAAATTCATCCATTATTTATTTTTTATAATTTATTGTTATTGACAAGACTGTCTCATCTCTGAAAATTGTACTGGTGTCAACGGCTACACATCTTAGAGGTATGAAGGAGTACATGTCAGGAGTTGCAATTTGGCAGAGTATTTAGTGCTCAAATCATGTACACACAATAAACCAGACTTGTAGGTAGTCGGGGGACCAAGAACCAGGTCAAAAGAAAATATGAAATGTTGAGACTGTTTCTACAAACAGGCATGAGTGTGATATTTGCACATGTGTTGTTCACGCTCTTCAAGGCATAGTCTCGTCCCAAAAATGGCTTTGCCGTTTTACCCGTGTATAATTATAAACCTAAAAGTTTGAATAAGCAAGGATATATTAGGTTGTTTGGAAAGTAACTTCGTTTTTTTCTGTGAAAAAAAACACACTATTTTTATAATAAATAAATATTTTATTGAATTATATATCAACCATTTTGGTCAAATACCTGTTGTAATCATTTTTGGTAGTAGCATGATTTCACATTTTAAAAGTTTTGATCGTTGTTTACAAAAATCTGATCCAAGTGATTTTTGACATTATCATTTCAAGTAAATGTCTTACAGTTTAAAAAATTTTGTAAAGACCGGAACAAGTAATATTCTGAGGGTGCCTGATCTGGTGAATATGGTTGGTGTGATAGCACATTGCATCTAAGCTGTAACAGTTTCTGACCAGTTACCAAACTTGTGTGAAATTTGACATTATCGTGGTAAAACACTATACCTGTTTTGTTGATCAATTCTGACCGCGTTTTCTGTTTGATGATATTATTCAATTTGTTTACTCAATGGCAGTACACTTTCGAATCAATTGTTAAATTGTCTGGTAAAAGTTCCAAAAAAAATGTTCTTAAAATCCCACCAAAGAGAGCATCTCTCTTTAAGAACATATGGAACCCATATATCAGGCTTTGAAACGAAACCAGTTCGTTTCAAGTAATCATAAACTGTTCAATTCAACAGATTTAATCTCTTAGTGATTTCATGTGTTGTTATTCGGCAGTTTGCTTCAATCAATGCTTTTATTTTGTTTTCATTGGCTTCAACTGGTCATCCAGAATGTGGTGCACCTTCAATATTGAAATTGCCAGAACAAAATTTTGTAAACCAGTTTTGGCACTGTCATTCTGTCAACACATCATCTCCATACATGTACCACAACTTATTTTCTTGCTTGAATAGCATTTTGATTTTTTGGTAGTAAAAAAGCAAAATATGCCAAAAATGATGCTTTCGATTTTCCATATTTGATGGGACACAAAAAATAAACAATTGCACAAAATCTAACAAAATTCTTTACAAATAAGCCTTAAAAATGCTAGCTGTCAAAATATATAATGATAATATGGTTTAGAATGAAAATGGCGGAAAAAATACGACTAATCCATCCAGTGGTAAAAAAAACATGGACTTACTTTTCAAACAATTTAATATTTTCAAAACAATTGCAATGGCTTTGACTACAACTACAACCTTACTTAAAATTTCTATTTTGATGTTGTTCAAAATAGAAGAGAGAAATCAATTTTATATACACACATTTTTTAATCTTAATTTTATTACTAAATGTCAATAATAATTATAAGATAAAAGTTGTGAAAAAATTTTTAGTACTTAACACATGTATCTATTGTTCCTAGTTCTAAGAGAGCATTTCAGTAATGCAAGTATTATGAGTATTTTTGTGGAAGATAGTATCATTAAAATTTTAACATGACCCATAGTTTGAGAAACACTTGTGTAGAATATTACCCATAATTATAAAAAAACAAAATAAAGTAATAAACAAAGAGTAAGGTAGAGAATGAAAATAAAGAAAATATGGTTTGGATAGGTGCATAATCTAATGTAATAAAATAAACTAAAATATTCTTACTCTTTTATGTATGAGTGGCATCCAGAAAATAAAGAATGTTTGCACATGGTAAATTATCAAATCAAGGTCAAGTCATTCTCTGATGTGTTAGCACCTGTAGATTTTTGATAACAGCAGGCTTATTATTATTGTTTTGTCAAGGGTTAAAATATGTACAAAAATTGAAAATCCCACCAAGTATGAAGTGTTATTCATTTTCTAAATGTGAATAAAGTTTGTCCTATAAAAACTCATAAACAAATCACGGAAGTGTATGGTGACCACATTATAAATGAAGCGAGTCTGAGAAAATGGTGTTTAATACTTAATCAAGGAAGATAATATGTAATTGCACTCTACTGAAGCCACTCAGTGCTTCAGAAATTTGACTGGGAAAATTTCACTCACCCATTCTGGCCCCCAGTGACTTTTACCTCTTTCCCAAGCTGAAAGAGTTATTGGGTGGATTTGGAACTTTTTGGAATGGATAAGGGGTGAAGAAGCTGTCACTGACTGGCTGAAAGAGCTGGGTGGTGGAAGTCTATGACAAAGTAATACAAATGCTTTAATTGTAATCATGACTATGTAGATAAGTAACTTGTCTTGTACTCAATAAAAATTTATTCTATCCTTACTGTTTTTTTACTTTTTTACTAGCTAAATGTTCATTATTTTCTAGATGCCCCTCGTATTTAGCATATAGATAAATAAGATTGAAAGGATTAAAAACTATTTTTACTAAACCTTTGCTACTATAATTATTTTTAATTTCTTCAACAAGAAAAGAATCTTTTGTAGCTCAATGTAATTACATGAAAGAAAACTTTTTGCAAAATGATATAACTGGAATTTGTTATTACATACATTTCAGTTATTAAACTTCTTACTTCATAGTTTCACAAGAAGCAAGTGTATTTTCTGCCATAATAATAAAATCTGATCAGATTGTTGTTGAGTATAAAGTATAATTAAATATTATTTAATTGCCTTAGAATTGGGTTAAATTGATTAATAATTAAGATTTACTAAAATGATAAATTTTCAAATATGATGAAAATAAATTAGTTAATATTATAAAATTTTTATCCTTGATTTACTTAAGAGCATAGATTAATATAATTTACATATTACTATATATTAGGAATTATACTAATATATACTAATATAATATTAGGAAATGATTCAGTGGTTCAAGATCCAGAAATAAATACAAGATTAGAGACTCTCTGTCTCAGTGTTACTGAACATGCTCTAGGTGGTCTTGGTAAGTTTTAAGTTTATTATTATATTTATCATCATCACCATAGTTTTAATATTAATTTTTGTTTTCTTCAGATGGTAGTATTACTCTGCAGTAGTGAAATCCTTCATTCTAGTTGATTGGTGGATCCCATGTGCCAATTTGAACTGTCTTTGGAGATGGTCCATATCATCCCTCAAATCATTTTTCTAATCTCTCTTGATGGACAATATAAAATTGTGCAGTTTACAAGTGAGCAAAATAACTTGATAGTCACAAATGATATGGACAAATGTAAAAAAAAATTTTTAACACACTTTTTTTAGAGGACCAAGCAACAAATTGTAATATGTGCCGTACAGAATTGCTGTACATTAAAAAATATATATATTCTGTTATTGTTAATATCACTAAAAAACAAAAAAAAGTCATGAAATTGTGCCGTACAAAATAGTCTATTGTATATAACAAAAAATAAGGTATCAAATGTTAAAAAACTTAATTTTTTTTATATTCATTTGATTATATATTACGTATTTTCATTTTTTTAAGTTGGAATTGCTTTTTCCAATTTTATTTCGAAGTTTTAAACTGCTGGACCAGTCATTTATAATTTAGTTGGCATATGAAAATAGCCATTTCTGCACCAAAAAAGTATTTTAGAAATACTCAAACAATGATACTCAAGAAAAACTAGATCTTGAAAAGAATTTTATGTTTAAAAGATAGTGTAGATACATAAATGTTCCATAAGATGCAAAATATTGTTAGTTTTAATTTTGCCCATACAAATCTCTACATTAATAAATTAAAAATATTTAATAAGAAAGACATCTGAAAAATAAGTTTTCTGTTTATTTGTGCAAAATTTATAATTATAATGGAAAATCTCAAAATATTTTCTTCCATATCCAATATTAGCTCACATTATCCTTCCAGTCATTGATAAATATTGGTTAGAATCAATAGTACAACTTATATTTTAAAGTATGAAAATGTAAGTCAATTTTTATTCACAGTTAACTTATTATTTTATAGAACAAAATTTCTGTGCATGATGCATAGTTCAAACCTGATTTGATAGCTACATTTATGAAAATGAAGCTGTCAAATCAGGCTGAAAGAAATAAAACCTTTGTAAAAAGTTTAAAAATCCAGTTCAAAGTATAGATTTTTAGGTATATAAAAATCAGACAAGTCATATTTTCATGATTATTTTTATGCAAACATTTTTATATTTCTGCTAACATTAGGCAAATAATTACCATTTTAAACAAGACTGGAAAATCTGATATACTATAAAAACAGTGTGTTAATTTTTTACAGTTGCTCTAAGTGGATTGTTCAACTGCATTGTTGAAACAGTTTTAACAATACAAACAGCTATTATTATATATATATATATATATTTTAATAAAGAGAGCAGCTAAACATTCAGAAATAATTTTGAACTTCAGATTTTGTTTGATTGTTAAACTTTGATACAAGAGATAAAGGACATTTTATTTTTATTTAGTAACTTCATCGGACCCGCGAGTTTCGGGATATTTTGTCATAAACACACAAGTCATGCAGTCTCTCCAATTTGTATTCTCGAATGATTTGCTCAAAAGAGACGATCTTCCATACCCTTTATACATTGTATGTAAATTCATTTTTATTTTTATTTTGCATAGTATAAAATTGTATATCCCACAGAACAGATTAAAGTTTGTTATTTTATAAATATTCTAGATCTGATTAAAAAACTTTTTTGCACCTATATCTTAAGTTTAAAATAGCCATAATTTCGAATTTGAAAATTATTATTATTATTTTTTTTGTTTCTTCATTTCAATAGTTTTGCATTATATTGGAAAAAGTTATTTGATGAACTAAACTAGTAATGTTTATTATTATTATTTTTTTTGTTTCTTCATTTCAATAGTTTTGCATTATATTGGAAAAAGTTATTTGATGAACTAAACTAGTAATGTTTATTATTATTATTTTTTTTTGTGCTTATTCTGTACAGATATTGCTTTTGATTGTTCATATTGTTTGTCATAAAATGTGTTAAGATATGTTGTGCAAAGAACAATCTCTAATGGCACTAAATAAATATTTTAATATAAGTTTGTGTTGATTTATTTAATTGTAAATTATCTTGGGAATTATGAATGGAAAAAGATTAAGTATCTTGGGTTCATAATTAAGCATTCATAATTTTTTTTTAATTTAGCATTTTGCAATAAATTGTAATCTCTTCTGATATTATTCTGGAATGCTGTAAGTAAACTTCTGTAATTTCTTTGTGTAATTTTTACTGAAGCCACGCCTACACAGGCTTAAAAGAACATGACATTTATGCCATGTTTGTAGTGAGAGAATAACATTCTATGTCTTTGTAGGATATTCAATCTTGATAACACCAATTGTATGGGTATTCTGAAATTTGCAGGCCATTAAAGTTAGATTATTTCTAATTGAAATTTAGCATTTCCTATTAATTATGAATACAGTAATACCTCGACTTATGCGAACCCAGAGTTACGTGATTTTCAAATCTCGTCGATTCGTCTTTTGTTTGAGCACCATGCAACTCTTGATTACTCACTCCCCCCACACTATTGTTCAGTTTACATGCTTGGACTTGTCGCGCGGAATCGACACATAGCTACAATTTATTTTGTGTTATTTATTTCTGTGTTTGTTATATCTGCGGAGACTTGAGAGACTCTATGTGGTGATTTCTTGTAACCATGAACGAATCAAAAGACGAGATAAGATTAACAAGAACATTTATTAGCTTACATACATCCGACTTGGATTTTACACAAATTACGAAATTATACCCCGACTTATGTGGTTATCGCTCGGTCCCACCTATCACGTAAGTTCGGGGTATTACTGTAATTATTTGGTTAATAGGTAACTAATGACAGTATCATTAGCAATGCCTGTGACTTTGTCACTAAAAGAGATTATATTTTCATAATACTTTAAAAAAATTATTCTGAGAAGGGTCTCTAGGTTTCACCAAACTGCCAGAGTTTGTGGCACAAAAGCTGTTAAGAATCCTGTGATAAAGGGTATAGGAGTATTGAAAGCATACACGTGCTTGTAAATAACAAATTTTGATGTAAATTATGAAATACTGAAATGGAAAAGAAATTGAATGATAAATTATTTATTGTGACATTGTCACAATGCCGGGCTACAACTTTTAATCATTTTAAATTTATTTCGTTTAAAATATATGCTCTCCACCTCAAATTAGTAGTGGATTGCCCTTTTAGATCATACTTTTCCTTTAACAATAGTCATGTAGGTCATCTATCTAACAGCTTTCAGGGGAAAATTTTTGAATTGAAATAACATGTCTTCCAGTTTTCAATGGAATTTTATGTATAGTTATTCAGGGCCTCCTGCCCCTAAGGTTTCTACATATATCTGATCTCATCTTTCATCTAACTCAAGATTAGGAAAAGACAGACTGACCAAAGTGGGAATTTATAGATCTACAATTTTTCAAATTGCAACCCAAAATGCTTGCAGTGTTTTAATCATGGCAAAATCTGAAGAGAGAATTTAGACTACTTTATATAAATAATTGTGTTTTAGTGAAATTTATAATTGAAGTGGTGTCATTTAAGTAATTTTTCACATTTTAAAAATAATACTTAATCACATTAATTATAATTTATTTGAATGATGCTTCAGGTTGTAAAGGTGAAATTTAAGATATTTTGAAAAAAATTTTATTGACAATTTACTCAATGATTACAGTTGAGCCTGGTAGATAATCACCATAAATATCAATAGCATCTTGGTACCTTTGCTGCAAACTTAATCCTGTGAGCATAGAATGACTGGGTTATGTTTGAGTCTTGCATTCTGGGTATTATCACTGAACTGTATATTGGCAATATGGTTCTTCAGGGTATGAAATAGTGGTCAGTTGGTGCTAAGTCTGGGTTGAAAGGTGGATGAGGCAGAACTACCAAGTCCAGATTGGCCAGCTTCACTAAGGTCATCTTTGCTCAATGTGCCATTGCATTGTTGTGATTGTTTGATCTTGGTGTTCAAACAATTCACCTGTTAACAGTAGAATTCTTTTATGATAGTGATGTCAGTTGGAAGTAGTTCCATTGTGATAATGACGACAAACAAATACAGCTGATTGCCGCCTTCTGCATTATTGCCCTTTAACATTTGCAACAGCTTGTTGACCTTTGTTTACCCATGAATACTTTAACAAATGCTTTGCAGATGAGCCTTTGTTGCATTGTGGTCACTTTTTAAATGATAGAGCAATAGAACACAAATGTGTTGTTTTGAAAGTTGCATATTTTCAGGCTTTGCTGATGCATCTATAGTATTTCCAATGAAATATGTGATGAAATGCCCTTTGGTTACTCTACTCCTAGAATATCTGATGTGGTTATATAAATTTTTTCCATTCTTTTCTAGAAAAAAATCGAAATGTCCAAATTTGACCTCTACAATCTGATATATCATATGGCTACTTCTTTCTTACTCATTTTAATTGTTAACATAATAAATTAATATAATTCATTATATTAATTTTAATTGATATTTTAACTTATCAGTTGGCAACCTTNATGGAAAAAATTGTTTCACTTAATGAGTATTTTGCATTGAGTAAGATTCTGGAATGAATTGCATTCATTAAGCAAGGTAATCTTATAATGCTTTACAGTTATTTTGGAACGTAACACAAACGTTTTCAGTCCACCCTAGGATCTTCTTCAGGTGGCGTTCTAGAAAAAATTTTTCTGGTGTGATTAGTGTTCTGTTTAGTTTCCAATGCGTTCTAATTTTGAATGCTTCTATTTTCAAATTTACTTTTAAAAATTTTAAATTTCTAAAAATATGCACCTGCATTGGCTGTTATAATGCCGGGTCATACATAACCTACCATGCAAAAACCAATTCTCAAAGGCATGGCATAATACAATATGTTTATTATATATCTGACTAGAAAAATGCCTAAATCAGTACTTTTCAAATGTGCTAAAATAGTTTGTGTAATTTTATACTAGAGCCTAAAATTATTATTATTATTTTTTTTTTAATTTTTTAAAGGTCATTTCATGATTGTGAAATCATCTCAGAAAGGTCGGAGACCATTTGGGAATTCTGCGTATTTGATAACTCCTCCTTTACCACAGTCAGGAAATGAAGATTTCTGCATTCAGTTTTGGTACTTTGTACATGGTTCTGATATCGGTGGATTAAATTTATATATAAAGCCAAAAGATGGAATTATAGATACTCCTAAATGGGTTATAAAAGGAAACCATGGAGGCAAATGGAGAATTGCTCAAGTTTCTGCTCTGTCAGCTAATGGACATGAAGTAAGAAAAAATTTTGTTACATTTGTGAAAGTAACTTTATAATTTATCTGATTAGAAATCTTATATTGGGCTATAGTTGTTCATCATATTGTTACTAGTAAATGAACATAACGAAAATTTAAAATTAATTTTAATTGATATTTTAACTTATCAGTTGGCAACCTTGGCTAAGTTAATTTGACAATGTTCTTTTATACATTGCTGATTTGCATATTGAACTTGTTTACAAAAAAATAAGATGTTACTTGTGTCCTCACCTATTTCTAATTGGAAAGTATTGAGATAGCACTAGTAGTCAAGATCTAACGTAATTCAATTCAAAATTTAAAATGACTGAAGCAAACATGGGAAATAATGTAACTATATAACGTATTCTTGCATAAATTCTCATACTATATTCGACTATAACTTATTGCAAAAATTCTCATCATATCGTTAATAAATTCATAACTAGCCTTAATATAGGCTAATAAAAAATCCGGCCGAGATGTCAACTAAAGTGTATAAGGTTGTGTATATTCTTAGTTAATGTTAATAAGGAAGATGATGTGCATCTAATTACGAAGTGGACCATAAATTAACGCAACAACGCCTCCAGCAAATAGCTGGTAAATTTATTTATGGATTTACAAAAAGTAGAACAAAATTATACATATTTTTATGTATTAATTCAGGGTTCAGCCCTGAATTAACACAGAACCAACATCAGGCACATAGAAAAAAAAGAACACGTTCGCCAGACGAACGCTACAACCACTTTTGTAAAAAGCGCGCGAAGAGAGAGCGCACCCTCTCGGTAGTTTTTATTTTAAATAAAACATAATATCGTCTGCTGGACCGAACAGAAGAATTATCAGTTTTATTTATTCTACAGTATCATGGCGCGCTGTATCTACTAGAACTGAACCAATCCAAATGAATGAATCGTACTCGTGATTTCCCCACAAGAAAATCCAGGTAATTCGTAAATCGTTTTGCTTTACATTTTGAAATTAAAATAATTTAAATTTGATTCTTCAACACGCGAGCCAGTTATGTTGTTTTTTCACTTTGTATGCTGGACAACTCAAAAACTCATTTTTCGACATTGTACTGGTTTTATTTTTAACTCTCTCCGCCATGTGGGCACTAAGAGGGCCTCTTTAAGTAAGCCCATTATGGGTTCGGCCAGACTCACAATGGAGCGGGGCCGACATATACGAACGGACCAGCCCGAAAAATTCATGGGGAGTTTTCGACCCATTCGGATTCGATTCTGGGTTCCCCAGAGCGATAGGCTGCCACCTTGACCGCTCGGTCATCCGGCCTTATTTTGTAGTGCTAGTGTTCTGGACAAAAGTCTTCGTGTGCAAAATCCTCAGGAATTTTTCAGCGGGTGGTCCGTCCGGATATGTCGGGCCTCCCCATTGTGGGTCTCCGAACCCATAATGGGCTTGCTAAAAGAGGCTCTCTTAGTGCCCACAAGGCGGAAAGAGTTAAAAACAAACAATAAGCCGCAAGTCAAACCCGTAGCCAATCAGAAAATCGGTGTTAATTTCAACTATGTATGGTATTGCAAAAGATGTTTCTCAATTGTAGTTTATGATATCAAAATGTAGTCGCTGAGCTTTTGAATTTGTAATTGACGCTTCGGGTCCATAATTTGAGATATAGAGGTTTTGAGAAAATTATTTGCGATAAACATGCAAAATATACTGAATTTAGGCTGAAAACACAGGAGTAAAAATGTTTTTGAGATAGACAGGTTGTACTGTACATCCACCGGGACCTATTTCCCATAAGATTTGTGCGAGGTCCCGTGTAAAGAAAAACATGCGTGCTCACTTTCGCGTGACTGGCGAAACCAGCATTCATTTCGAATTTGACGTACTGTACTTTTCATGAAAGAACAGTGACGGTATGAGACTTCTGAATGGAATTTGATAAATAAATTAAATAAAAATTTATATTTATTTAGTCAACTTTTTGCTGGAGGGGTCGCAAGCATGGTTGTCGGTTCTTTAAAAGTTGAGGTATGGAATTTTATGAAAGCAGGACCCTGCTTTCACAAAACGGTGATGCATTGCTTAGAGTTAGAAAAATTTTGATACTTTGGATTATGTAAGAGTTCGATTGGTCAACATCCAAGGAAAAAATTTGTTTTCATACAGAGAGCAAGTGCCTTGGCTTGCCTTGCATTAAATTATAAATAATTTTTTCAATATTCTGAGGTATAGAATTCCATACCTGCAAAAATGTGAGGTATAGAGTCTTCCATACCTTCCATAGTAGAAACGACACTACTGGTCGCAAGAAAGTCGTCTGCTCAACGAGCTAGAGTAAGATAGAATAACTTACACTCTCAAACTGCTATGGTAAAACAGCCGTCACGATGCTATTTTTTATGTTGGAATCGCCTCTATTAAAAATAAATAATGTCAAAATTTACCTCAGACATTCAACTTCCCTAGACTAAGGGTCGAGTTATAAAATCCGTAACGTAACCGTATCCGTATTCGTAAATGTTTGCTACACCGGATAACTATAGCAACACTTATAAACTACAGTAAGGCTTTTTCCGTAAAAAACTTTTTTACGGTTTACGAAGCAGTCCATCGTGAGCATGCGCAAAATCATAGGTAGTTATTACCAGATCTTACACTATAATTATTTATTCATTTTATTATGACCAAAGTAATTTTTATCTTAAAATTTTATATTATTCAGAAGCAGCATTGTCGGTCAAAAGTTACGTTTCAATCAATTTGTCAAAGTTTCGTCGGTTGCTTCCGGCACAACTTCCAATTGTACATCAACTGATGGCGACTTAGCGCATGCCACTTGGTCAATTCTCGGTATCCCTACCGTAAAAGTTTGGTCGATCCAAACTTTTCTTACGGAATACGGTACGGCCATACGGATACGATACGGAGTTTATAACCATGCTATACGGATACGGTTATGTTACAGTTTATAGCGAGGTTGAGGCCAAAGTTTTAAACGCGAAAACGTGTACGTCGGTCGTTCAGCGCTACTTTCCCTAGAAGTTTGACAATGGTGTTTGGAATGTCGAGCATGATTCCACCGATTATCCAAACACCATTGCGAACTTCTAGGCTTACAGGAAAGCGGCGCTGAACGTCCGACGTACACGTTTCCGCGTTTAAAACTTCGGCCTCAACCTCGCTTATAAATCGATCCTAACAGTCCCTTTCACACGATCCGATTTGAAACCGTGATCGTGGTTACACACGGCGCCGTATCTAATGACGATATCCTGTGCCGTAACTAGGCTGGTGCAACAGGTGCACCCGCACAGGGCCCACTTGGAAGAGGGGCCCAAAATGCATGTATTTGTTTTATTACTTTTCCAAACCTAATTAATTAAGGGGCCGAAATGCAAATTCCTGCACAGGAATGACTAGTTACGGCACTGAAAGTATCGATTGGGGAGTCATCCAAAACCTCAGTTATTTCTTTCGCAAAGTTTTTCTTCAAGAGTTTTCTGTATTCTTCTACGGTGTTTCTTTTTTCCGGATCGAGTGTTTTTTCCAGAGCTAGGGGTTCCGGAAATTTGCTACTTCTGGCTGCTTGGCTTGACTTATCGTTTTATTTGCCTTTTTTTGCCTATATCGGAAATTACCACGATACAGGGGAAATCGGAAATTACCCCTGTATCGTGGTAATTTCCGATTTCCTTTGTCTTTATTACTCTTGTTTTTTTCGCCACCGTTAAGCTTACCGTGAAGAATAAGGCTTCTACTATTCTATTTGAAATGTCTTTTTTGCGTTTATGCAAGAAATCGAACATATTTTTACTCTTCTAAAAATTCTCAACGATATTTAGCGTTCCGTCATATACAAAGTTTACAAGGAGAGCGCATGCGCATAAGTTGGCTTTATTCGAACTCTTCGTCTTAATGTTCGATTTTATATTTATATCATTTGGGAAGATCCAGCATATTTTTCGTAACGTTTTCGTAACCCCTTTTGGATTCTTTTTATAACTGAAAAAGAATCCAAAAGGATTCTTTTTCAGTTATAAAAAGAATCCTTATTAAGTTATAAAAAGAATTCTTTTTATAACTGAAAAAGAATCCAAAAGGGGTTACGAAAGCGTTTGTTATTCATCACTTAGCGCAGTGTTTCTCAACCTCTAACGAATCGTCGCTCCCTTCAACATGGTGTCGCCCCTTCAATAAAACCGTTACGTAGTATCGCCCCCTTCACTTCAAAATTCCGATGCCGAGGGCCAAGGCTAATGCCAAATTCGTACTGCATTGAATAGACTAGTGACTAGTATAATGTTATTTGTTTAATTATTGTACGATATAATGAAAAAATATCTAATTATTCTTAATATAATGTTTTACTATATCGCCCAGAAAATTGTTTTTCGCCCCCTAAAATATAAATTGTTACAAATCGCCCCCGTTGAGAAACACCGACTTAGCGGTTCTACGCACCGGTTAGTGGTTGCTGTCAACCTTAATTATCGATATCCCAGTGTGGTAAGCAGATAGCTAAAAATTTTATACTTAGTATCGAAACCTAATTGTTGCACTCGGTGAAAACGGATAAGATCGGCTATAATCTACTAACCTTAATCTTTGCTATCGTTACTTTTTTTCCGAGCAACGCCGGGCACATCTGCTAGTTCACGATAACAGTATTAGCAACACCCCCGAACCTCGAGTATTTATGGGTCGTCGTTGATCAACGCCTGACGTGGCCTGGCTTAACCCGCAACACGCTTGCTAAATAAAGAGGCCCTCTTAGTGCCCAGAGGAGCGAGTGAAAAATTAAATAAATAAAACCCTCGGAGTGGCAAGTGTGCCTTTGCCACTTTAACTGTTTCTCTAAAATTATCCTTTCTTAAAAGGAATGCGCTTACAAAAGAACAGAAAAAGATTAGATCTGCAGAAACTGTTTTATTTTTGCAAACATTATGTTTTTACAAATTACATAAGTTTTATTCTTTATCGAGGCATTTTTAAACAGACTTTTAATAACATTTATATAGGTCCAAACACATATTTTAATGTGTGCGAGAGCTCTCGACTATCGCTTGGATGCCTTAATTAGGCCGTAACAATTACTATTAATGTTTTACAAATATAAATATACAACAATTTATAATTGAGATTAAAATTATTAATTAATATATTAATAATCAATTAATTTATCAAACGTTTTATGTATAAAAAATTTGTTTTGCAATTAATCCTTTTACTAGTGTCTGAATAACAAATATCAATTTGTTGAGCGTGTCGTTCCAATAACAAATTAAAACACAATTCCGGAGAGTCCAAGTTCCAGGGATGACAAAAATTGGGAGTCAAATTTGAGCACAGACACAAGCCGGAAGAGTCCAAATTCCAATATAGACAGGATTCTGAAGTCAAATTCGAGATAGACGTAATTCGGGTGAGTCCAAATTCGAGTTTAGACACCATTCATGAATCAAATTAGGGGTAGACGTAATTCGGGAGAGTCCATATTCGAGTGCAGACACCATTCATGAGTCAAATCCGGGGTTGACATAATTCGGGAGAGTCCAATTCGAGTACAGGCACAATTGAGGAGTCAAATTCGGGGTAGACGTAATTCGGGAGAGTCCAGATTCGTGAAGTAGACATAAATCGAGAGTCCAAATTCGTGTAGACCAATTCGGGTAAATGATAATTGACTAAAAGACAATAATAAGGAGACACAGCCGGGATAAAGTCAAAATTGGGAAGTCATAATCGAACTTGGCATTGACGCAATCGGGATGTCAAAATCAGGAGAAGTCATCGATGGTTTGCAGAAAAAAACCTATCTAAAAGTGAATGAAAAACCAATATTTTAATTTTTACTTATAAATTGAAAATTATTTTTGCAATTTTTAGGAGCTTTTTAGATTTTATTTATTAATTTTTAAACTTTATCATTTCTTTTTGTTATTTTTTGAATATTTTTAAATGAAAACAAAATTAAGAATATTATTTCCTTCTAAAATGGAAATAAAGTTACGTGCCAAATGATATTGCTTACCGCAATTAATTGCATACTGCCACGTGTCATGTATGTATCAAATATGTCATTGTCAATTCCATTATTTTAACATGTTCCCGTCCGCGTAATCACGTAAGATTACTGGATAATTTAATTTCTACGTTCATTTATACCATTGCTTTCGCTGTGTCAAGAGACCAGCAACTTATACCCAGGATGTATTATTGTGAGTACTTGGACAGGAATATACAGGCTATGTATGCCCGATACCCTAAAAACGTGGCTTTTCTGTAATCGCATCGAAATCGATCGCATCAAAATATAATACATTTCCACGCTAATACCGTACATAAATATTTCCATTTTTTCTGTTGTCCGGCCATTAATTGCGGGTTATTATGAAATCGCGGTTAGATATTGTGTCAATTTATAAACCCAGACCGTAAAATCTCCCAAGTGTTTGGTGTAGAATACAATAAAGTTGCCATACACACTTACAATTAGCCAACTCGGCCCAGATCCAGCAAATCACAGAGCAGATCTTATTGTCGAATTTGACAGATGGAAGCAAAGAGATCCTTACTCGAACCGAACGTACTCGCATTCTCCACTTCTGGCCATTTTACACACCTTCTGCACGGATCTAAATGTAGAAAAAGAAGTATAATTATTCATGGAAAACGTATAACTCCATTTGAATTCCATTAAAACATATTGCGGCGCTGTATCGATGGGCTGTAAATGTTGGCCTACAAAGAACGAAAGTTGGATTATGAAATTTTCTACTAATTCATTGGTTCGGTGACGTTTTGAATTCAACTTTTCATCCAATCAGTAATGACACGGACGAATAGGCCGATACAGCGCCGAACAATACGGGAAAGTTATGCGATTCGCAAACATTTCCAACTCAAATCTTAATGCTATAAAAATTTTTGGCGTAATCGATACTTGGGCTTAGCGCCACACTCGATTTATTGCCAATTTCAGAGGCTAAATCGTACAAAATCTTACCTCTTAACGGGTTTCCACATGCTCTTAAAGAACGACCCGACTTTCTTCAATGTATTTCTATCCCTGGAATGGCCAGGATTATCTTGCACGCAATCTTCGTGCTCTGCCGGGTCTTCGTTCTCTTTGGTGCTTCGTGGAGGAATCACGCTCTCTCTATTGTTCACTCCTTCATCCTCCACATCTTCGACCAATCTCTCACTAAACAAGGAAAGAAATACAATAAATATATAATTTTGGAATTGAATTACGATGAATATTTATAAATGGTAACACTTGGAAAACATTTTCTTTAATTTCCCATCAGGGCAAGAAACTATTAAACTTATTACTATTTATCGAAAAATTAAAACGATGATTCCTCGTATTTCTCAGAATAACCCCTCGTTAAACAGCTCGTACATATAATATACACAAGTTTATTACATACAAACAGTAATGTAATTTACCTGTTAAAACGTTGGCAGGCCGTCTGACAGATTGGTCGAACCTTCATCACAGCTTTTCTATAAGCAGGCTTGATGTTATTTTCAAAAACGTCCAAACCTTCGAAAGCACCGGTCGAGGGTTCGTACTGCTTCGAGAGGCCTTTCTTCAACTTTCTGCCTCGAAACTTAACATAATCCAAATTTTGTGGACTGACGAATCTTCGCACATCCACATCCAATCCCTCCCTAAATATGCAAAGAGAAAATTCACAATACAATAACTATTTAATTCTACTCTCAAACTACATTAGATCCCCGTGCTTTTAAGTTTATTCGACAGAAGGAAAGGGCCTTTTATAAATCGACTAGTCTAAATCTTTTTCTGTTATTTTAAAAAAAGACATATTGAATATTATAATTGACATATTGAACATATTGAAACGAAGTTGGGTTTAAAATTTTAGTAAATTTCGTCATATTAACGACCTAATCCGTGATATAAAAGAGGCCCGATTACTCGTTTAAACAACAGTAAATTGAAAAGCCCTAAATTATCTTCTTAACACCAGGCCCCGAACTGTGCCTTATAAAGCCCTCTATTGCAATACAGCAATACAGGAAGACACAAAAATCGTAAAGTCTCAATCTTTACATTTAATCTAATTAGGCCTAATTATATATTGTAGATGGAAGTTTTTCTTTAAAGCCTTTAATTGCTAAAACCAATTTCTTATCCGAATAAATAGTAATGAAATGTAAAAAAATCTCTTACCCAGGAGGATGGGGCAGGGGTCGATACTCTCTACCATCAAAAAACATCTTCGAATCGCTTTCCAAATCGCACTCTTCGTCCAAGAGCAAAACTACGCAACAACAACAACATCAATTGTTGAATTCGTTTGTTACGTGTTAAAAAAAAGCGGGAATTTAATGAAGAATTTTGGATTTTTTTAAAATTATAATTTCAGAATCTGACGCGTGTATAATAAAGATTAAAAAGCCACGTCACACCGGTGTGGGGATAGGGGTTAGAATAGAGATGGTTCGAAAAATGCACGCGGTGGTGCTGACGTGATAGCAGCGCGAAATACAAACGTGTAAATATAGACATTTTGCATTAACCAAGACCTTATACGGGAATATAAAACGAAATTAAAGCAAATATTTGGCGAAAATACAACAACAACTTGATATTTATACCTTAATATCGGGAGAGATGGTTATTTAATGGCCATTTCTAGAAATGATTCCATATACATAATTATAAAACAAAGCGTGTATTGTAACGTGAATCTGATGAATCACACCCGCCGAATAACTATTTAGTCGGCAGCTTGATTATTAATTAAACTGATGCTTAATGTCACCAGGAAAGTCGTGCTAAAATTCCTTTATTTCCCTCCAAGTTTTTATACGCTTAATTTAATAGAAAATCGGCTGAACATTTGTGAAGTTGTGGCAAATCTTTCTCACCAGAAGTGTTTGAATTTATAACTCTAATCATACGTTAATTTTGCTATTGCAAGCGAAGACAGGTACACTGGTTTTAAAGCAATAATCGCATTGTCTAACATACACTTCTCGTTAGCCCTGTTATTCCATTTGGCTCCTATTTTTGATTAAGGGAGCCAGTGCCAAATCCTTAACTACGTCGTCAAAATCGAATTTTTTGCATATTTGTGTTGTATGGACAATAGATTCGGGAAGCATATGCGATGCAGGGTTAATTAAAAGAGGAGTACCTCAAGCCAGTAGCATTTAATGCTACAGGTCAGAGGGAGTGCTCCACTAAATGTAAAAAATGTAAAAAAAAAATAGATTCGGGAAGGTATTCACACATTGTAATAGTCTCATTAGTTATATCAATGTAGCGTAGACACGAAATATTCGAATTTTGTCTTATGAATCGTCACCTTTATATCCAGATTATATTCGTTAATCGATGCTAAATCTAAATGCATAAATGATTCATAAGGCCGTCCTCGTCTTTAATATAGAAATGTTGCGAAGGCAACCAAAAATGGCCCTTTGCTCTTCAAAAAGTACAGATTATTCATTGGTATATTATTGCTAAAAACAATAGTTCCTATGGAACTGTGTTTCGGGATTATTTGTACGCGTATCTGTTTCTTCGTAATCAAATAAACGTTCTCGTTTTCTCTATCCGAATACAAGAAGAATTTTTTTTATTATATTCTGCGTTATAAATACTTAAATGTGATACAAAGAAGCTACTGTGGTTTAATGCATTTCCTGTGAGCGCAACGTCACATTACCGCGAAAACTTTAAAAACCAAAAAACTAGACTCCTGAAGGGCGGGCCACCTTTAGACACTTGGCCCGTTGCCCTTTAGATTTTTTATTTAGGCCATTTGCTTTTGATATGTTTAAGAAAATGAGAACACTGAATAGGGAGGAATGGCTGCATCGTATCTTTTGAACCAACCCGAAGACGTAAATTATAAATGATGGAAAAAATAATGTTTGAAAAGTCCGGAAATAATGTTTGCACTTTTCGACTTTTGATGTGCAACTGAAAATTGTTCTTCGGTTCCAATCGACACAAACGGTTTTCGCAGTACAACAATAACAGAAGGACGAAAGTATCCAGTGCCGTAACTAGGCAGTGCAACAGGTGCACCCGCACAGGGCCCACTTGGAAGATGGGCCCAAAATGCATATATTTGTTTTATTACTTTCCAAAACCTAATTAACATAATATAAATATCCCGACAATTGTTTATATATTTTGCAAATTTTCAAATCTAGTGGGCTTCACAAGTCTACATCCAGGTACTGTACAGTACATGTAACACTTTAGCTATCTTATACCTAATTCCTTTACGAAAATGATCAATTTTGATTCCATTTTGGTAAATTAGCTTTAAAATATTTTAATTATGCTGCTACTTTAGAAATTAAACTAGAAATCAGATAAATACGTCCTTTGCAATTTTTGCGCCATTTAATAAAAATAATCTCTGTTAATAATAATCGAATTTTTCATATTATCGAATAATAATAATGGATATATAATAATCCGTTCGTTTTATTAGAAATTTTCATACGAAGAATTCTTCATTTTTAAAAATTTAAACGTACTTTTGTAAAACGTTTACGAACGAAACTAAACGGTTTTTACGTTCTATCGACTTTAGAACGAAAGAATTCAAAATAAATCAAGTATTCAAAATCATTTCTAGATATTGAGATCAGCCGTTATCTATTATGTAATAATTTGAATTAAAATATTGGAGTGTGTTGTTGTTCAACATGTGGAATAACGGCCGTTATTTTTACAGACACGATTCGATACCTAGATAAGAACGGTGTTTTCTTCTTAATTAACCATTTCTTGGCTTCCAAATAACCAATCTTTTGCTTTGTCTTCAGGATGCCACACGAGGTTCACGCGAGAAACGTGGACACTTACCAGTTCGGATCGAGGTCCATGAATCCTACGTGCAGTTCCATTGGATGGATGGACCAATACCAATACTTTACTCCTTCTTTTCTTCCTGCTTCTAACTGTTTTACTCATACAAGAAGAAGGCAATATTGCCTTCTACTTGGCGACTCCCCGTACGGCGCTAAATTGCCTTCTACTTGTAGAAGGCAATTTGGCGCCGTACGGGGAGCCGCGGTGAGAAATATATATACAGGTATTTTATTGCGTTTCGTTCCTTGAAATACTTCATCAATATCGAATTCGTTACAGATGAACAGATTATCTCGTCCTCTGAATAGTTATCCACCAAGACTTTCAGACATGCAAATGATGAGTTATACCCTATTCACACTGTATTTTTTAAGCCAACTTAATAATTCGATTCGGACTTGTTTCTTATTTTTTATTTATCGTTATCGTTTTGGATATTTAATTAGTTGATTTATTAACATTGAGACACCAGCATATTAGCGCTATTTGGCCGATCATAATTTCGCTCATTATGGGCGGGCTGGATTTCAATGGCCCAAAGTATGAAGAATAAAGAAAGATGTCTCGACCCAAACCACAATAAAATATGGTTGTCAGGACCGAATTTGAATCTGGATTCTCACAATGGTAAACTGAAATTTTATCACGCGACTAGTCAGATTATGAACTGTTCACTTGAATTGCCAGATTTGATTATACGGTGCAATTGTTCATAATGGGCTGTTATAACTGTACTCGATTTTGCCCATTGCTGTTGGTTTGACTTGCAGTGATGTCTGTATCAGAGAATAATAATAATAAACGACTTCCTAATTCAAATGCCCATTGAAAGTTAGGATAGAATTCTGCATTGACTAATTATTAAGACAAAACACGAATTTGAAATAAGTTTGTTTGCTTCAGAAACAAATGATAATCTGTTTTTATAATATTACAATAATTAAATTTTCTTGTTTTAGAAAGTAAAAATGATAATTTTATTCGGAAAACAATGTTATTTATCGGTTATAATAATTTATAAGTCGATAAATATCCCGCACACGTTGTCCTTTAATCGCTTCCATTAAGATACTATAGAAGTGGAATTAGTACGTCAAACACGTAACAGTTTATCGTACCTTTACTGAAACTAAATGATGTTAAAAGTACTTTCGGATGCTTAAGTTGTATATAATTACAGTAAATTAGAGTAGATCACGCGAAATTTAAATAACATCGCATTCGGAATTCTAAATTCGGATGCACCGTGTTGCAGTTTTAATTACAGTTTCACACGACAGTATTAATCTTACCTGTAAACGATTGTCTTCGAGTTCTAGTAATTGCATAATTCAGAATAAAATAGCAACTCAATTAGCCGAAGTTAAATTATGCTATAGATAATTACAACATTGTTTCGACAGTCCGAAAACATCCAGTCGATCAGCGGCCACGAAAACAGATATTTTGAAAATTCAAATTCGTTTGTGAAGTATAAGTGTAATGGACGTTGTGTACCAGAACTGTTTTTATTTCTAGTTAAATTTTCTTTCGCTCTCCGTTCCATCATGGCAGCAAACAGTTGCTAAATAGGAACTGGCTCTCCAGTGGCCGAGTGGATAAAACCACCGAACACTAGCACTCGGTCGAAAGTTCGCTCCTCTCCAACGGGCTGGCCACGTGGAGTTTTCCGTTTGTAACACCCATCTGGAGCCAGTTTTTCATAAAAGTCCTCTCGGGAGGCATATTCCTCGTCAGATCACCAGATGTCGCGTTGTCGTAAGCAAACAAAGCAAACCTAAATAGAAACTGTGCGCTGCCAGGCAATAAACAATCCTCCATTATAAGTTACGTTATGATAATAATGCCGCGTAATTTGTTTTCTAAACGCATTTTACTGAAAACGGGCAAACAGTGATCTTACTTCAATGTTCTTCGTTATATTTATTAAATTATTTATGTTCAACCAAATTGTTGTTATTGTTCGATTTTCTTTTGTTCAGTATTTGAGGTCGTTTGAAAACTTTCTACAAAATAATGCTTTGCAATGAATTATGACGATTGTATATATTTCGCTGCCAGAAACGTTTCCGTTTATACACTACATAATATGTATTATTTAGCGTTTGTTTCCGGAATTAAGCAAAATATAAAAATAGAATATACTAAAATGAGATAAAGATTTTATATTTTATGACTAGAACCGAGCTATAAAACAATCGTGAATAAATTATCGTGTATACTGTATAAAAGTTACTCCACGTAACGAATGTAATTAGTGCACGCTGTTTTGATTCTCTATAGATATACATTAAATATTTAAACATTTTTCGTGACAATTTCGCGAATTAAATCCAAACATATTTCTATAATAAATATTACATTTACACGACGCGATAGATCGTAATAAAGTTAATAGATTACAATTATTTTTCTTCGTCCTTAAAGCTGAAGTTTAAAAAAGTAAAAATGATTTCTTCTTGCGTCTACCATTAAAAGAATTTAAGGATTAATTAAATAATAATAATAATAATAATAATAATAATGAGTAATTTCGAGTTGAATATTTAACATTGTATTTGGAGAAAAAATAATATTTTATTTTGGAAGGTGACGTTTCCAATCACTTAAGAATTTAATTAACTGTATTGTATGGAAAAGTAATTAAGTTTAATTGTGTCGTTTCGACTTTCATGGCAATCGGCTAACGTTTAGACAGTTAAACTTAATTATCATCAGAAAGTTTATCGCTGTTTTATACTGCATTTACGCGTCACGGCATAGACAAATTGTTGACTAACATTTAACGAGCAAAATTTATTTTATAAATTAACATTTTTATCCGGTAATTTTCAGCAAAAAAACGTTTTGCCCGCAAGAGATTTCATATTAATTATATTTTAGAAATTCAATATAAATGAATGAAAATACTGAATTTTAAACGCCATTAGAGAAATTATGTTTTTCAAAGATACAGGATAAATTTTTATACTGGTAATTGTCTATTTTGACAATAAACATTAATTAATATTGTTATTTATCAAATCCGATAAGAAATTATACAGATGTATTTTCGAATTTGGAATATATTTAATTAATTAATTATTAAAAATGTAATTATTCAAGAAGCGTACAGTACGTTTAAAAACCCAAACTACATTTTCGTAGATTTGTACAGAACACGACAAGGGAATTTTTCTAATCGTTTATATTTTCTGTCCAAAGTTTTCAGAAATAGCATTTTGAACTTGGCAATGTCCCAAAGTGCAGAAAAATGCAACCAATGTTAAGTTGGATCAATAAATGTCACTAACCGGTCGCTAGACTTTTCTCTCAATCATTACCCGAAATGTTATTTATAAATCCGACGAAAACAAAAGAAATATAACTTATATATAGGAATCTCTCGATATTAATTCTGAAATTTTAATGTTTTAACGGTGATTCAACAGAGTAATTAAACTTGTGTTTTTAAAAAATGAAAGGAGACAACATCATGAAATAATGAAATGTTTTAATGATCATGAAATTTGATTTTTTGGTAGATAATTTCAGATAAATCTCATTGTGTTCTTAAACTGTCAAAAAAAAATGTACAATATTAATTACTGTGCCCAGTAAACAGACAACACAAAGATCTTTTTTAACATCCTTTTTTTTTTTGCTAAGTATTTATATAGGTTCACATTATAGTAGTCACATAAGTTTTATCTATAGCTGCCTTTGTTACTCTATGATTTGGGTGTAGTATTTTTTTTTTTTAGTTCAATGCTCTTTCGCATCTACTGCCATTGATTTTTTTAATTACTTTTTTCCTATTTTAAAGCATATATTTATATAAAATAAAACTTCCAAGCACTACGTAAATAACATAGAAGATTTTATAAAAAATGTACAAATTTGGTCCTGTTTTTATCTCACAGGATAATTTGCTAACAAACTTAAAAAATCAATATGTATATTTATATATATTTATATATAAACCACCGCAGTTTCGTGTGCAATTTATACTTTCAACGGAAATGCAGTCGCATCTTTAGAGTTCCGACGAGGAAAACTTCTTATATCCAAAGATGAAATGTGGATTTTTTTAGGACATTATAACTGTATTAAACAACTTTTATCTCAACTACAAAATTGGTTTATATTAACGTAACAATTATAATTCTAATGTTTACACAATGATAAACAAGATATGCTACGATACTAGATTCTGGAAGTACAATGTATTTAGTATTGATCCACGGCAACAAATGTAAACAAACAACGGTCTGTCGAAGTGGGACATTCAAAATGAATTCTTTTTTGTATATTTTTTTAAATATATTTTTTTAATGATAATACACTTCACGGATATAACGGCGGTGACGTGCTTCTTTACTCGTTTCCCTCCGGATTTAGTTTGATTGCCGGCCTTATAGTTTGTTTTCGTGTTTGTTTTTTTTAATAAATATTAAATCACAAATTTATTATTTCCCAAGCATTTTTTTAGTTCTTAAAGTGAATCTGTTAGCACAAGTTATTGTATTTTTTTATTGTATGTATATAATTTTAATTTTATTGTTAGCAGATGACGAGTATTCGATTATAACGTAATGTGGATTATTAAAGCTACACGTACCATTCTTTCAGATCTTTTTTCTTGGCTAATTTAGTTGCCGTTTTCACACTACCGTTCATTTGAGTCTGTGGGAATGTGGGTGGGGGTACGGGTGCTTCGGAAACTGCGGGAGGATACTGTAGAGTTTTCCCTTCGTCTACCTTATACGCACCTAGTGATCTTCTGCATACACTGTATACTATTAAGGCAATAAAAACGATAATAATCAAAATTCCCGCGATAATTCCGATAACCAGAGCGGTGTTGTCGGCCGATCTCTTTGTTTTGTGGTGGGGTTTCGGCTGATCTTTCCCTATGGCGGGCATTTCTGGAATGGGAACCTCGTATATGGAGAGGCGAGTGGTAGATTCGACGGGTATGGGAAGAGTCGTGGTGAAAGTCGGCTTTTGTGGAATCGAAGGTCTCTCCACGGGTTCTTCCAATCCCGTGTTGTAAACGGTGACTTGCGAAGGGCGAGGAGACGATTTAGCCTCTGTAAATTTGATTACATCGGGGACCTGTTGTACGACCGTCGGACCGGAAACGGCCGGTTCGCCCGTACCCGATCCGTTTTCGCTCTCGCAATCTTCTTCGTCGTCGCACGCCATGTCGTCGGTTCTGACTGGCCCGATTACCATGTATGTCGGTTTCGGAGTGGTGGTGGTAGTCGTCGGAATGGTCTTTGGTGTTGGTGGAATGTACACGGGTGTAATTAATTCGTCCCCTGAAAAAAAAAATCTTCCATAAGTTCATTTATTATTGAAATAATTATAATTAATTCGAGAAATAATTATAATTAATTCGTTAGTTAGTTTTCTACTGATTTATTTGTTTACTTGCCACTTAAAAAACATTATCATCAATAAGTTTGTAAAATTTTCTGTTTTAAATATTGAGAAGTAAAATAATTCAAAAGTAATTTTTATTTCCTTTTTATCATCTTATAAGTTGTTCGCAACTTCTTATATTAATATATATTAGCGAGGTTGAAGCCGAAGTTTTAAACGCGAAAACTTGTACGTCGGACGTTCAGCGCCGCTTTCCTGTAATCCTAGAAATTTGACAATGGTGTTTGGATAGTCAGTGGAATCATGCTTGACATTCCAAACACCATTGTCAAACTTTTAGGCTTACAGGAAAGCGGCGCTGAACGTCCGAAGTACACGTTTTCGCATTTAAAACTTTGGCCACAACCTCGCTATTATCATTTATAACAATCTACAGTTGAATTAAAAACAATTTATGAACTATTTTTGCAACAAGCTTTTTATAGAAATTATAATTGATAGAAGATGACTATAAAGTCTGGAAACACGATTATTACGTTATTCGTCATCATGAATGCAATTTCACGGTGCAGATCGTGCATTGTAATTTATTGTTACTAAATTATTTAATATGTATATTCTGCTATGTTTCCTGATTTTATGGCGATCCTGTAATGTAACATCATATTTTTATATTAAGCGTTCTAATGAATATTAATTGTAATACCAATATACAATGTGATAACAAACAAGCAATATTAAAAATATATTTGTTGTTGCACAATACTCTAATAGCATTTTATCAAATAATTCATAATATAGTTCGTGAGGAAATAGTGCAGCAGTGAAAGGAAAGATGCTTGTTTTATAGCATTTAGAAAATAGTTGGTACACATACAGATGGACTTTTGGCCCTTGTCTGAAATGAATAAGAGCATTAAGATTTGAAATGGAATTTTGTAAGAAAGTGTGTCATTAATCTAAAAGTGATCTTTAAGCAATATCACTGTTCTGATATTGCTTAAAGATCATTTTAGCTAACGTTTTATGTAAGCAAAAGGTTTTCTAAATATTTCAGACACTTGTGTATAAAATAACAAAAAGTCTCTCTTCCATCTTATTATCTCTGATATTGAACTTTGAGCTGAAAAATACAGTATTTTCATTTAAGCTTAGTGTTTATAATAACAGGGAAAGGATCATAATTGGGAATAAATGATAACAGCAGCTATTGCTTTATCACAGTGATTCTCAAGCTATTTAAGCATAGGGAACACCATAAAAACTATAGAACCTACTGAGGAACCTCTACCTGTTCATGTCCCATCTCTATCAAAACTGAGCTAAAATTTTTGGTAATCTAAAAATAACTCTCTTAACCTAAAAATTATATACAATACTTCAGTAAAGACAAAAAAGTAAATCAAAAAATAAAATAAGAGTAATTATTGCTCTGTTTAAAAGTTTATGGAATGAAGCAGTGTTGGATTGTCTGCATGCTATCAGAGGTTTGTATTAACATTGAATGTCAAAGGTGCAAATTTAGCATTGACAAATTTTCATCTCATGGAGCCTCTTACATCCTTTCACAAAAACTTAGTTTGAGAAACACTGTTTTAGCATAAGGTTGATAATTTTAAGATCATTCAAAAATTATTTCTTTAGCAGGATATATACGGTACAACAAATAGAATCATCCTTTCATTGTACATTTATTGTTAATTTTGTCATTATTTGCTATTGCATGTTTTTCTACATTCTGTAGTTTATTTATTGTGGTACATTTTGCACTCAAATTCAATACTCTAATATTTTAATGTACTCATTTTTTTATAAGTAAATCAGAGATATTTAATTTTTGATACTAAAATTTATTTTAAATTATCTAAAATACTATTTATAACTGGCATTAGTTTTTTAATGCAAATGTTGGATAATACGTGGACTCAGATTCAGTTCAATACTGGTAAGAAAAACTAATATAATAGAGTATGATGCATAAATATTTGATTAATTCTACCAACTAAATAAAATGATTTTGCTGATAATCGGATAATGGTTCTCTATAACCATTAGACAATGCCAATGTACATTAATGAAATGAATAATGCAAACAGATATATCTAAATTATGCAATTCATAAGTTATTAGATAAATTCAGAATTTAAAAAAATTATAAAATTGTACTTCTAAATATTACTAATGAAATATCAACATTTAATCTCAATTTAATAATATTGAAGAACACAAAAATGTTTACTATTTTTATAAAAATAATAAACAAATAGTCTTATGAATACAGGGAGTGTTTGTCCCCTAATTAACAAGCAATTACATTAAAGTAAATAAAAAAGAAAGTAGATACAACAATAAAAACTTAACAGAAACATATAACAAAATACACTAAAGTAATGTATATAAAAAAAACAGAGACTAAAAGATGTCATAAATAAATTTTTTAAAACAAGTGAAATCATAATAGAGAACCTCTAAATCAGTGTTTCTCAACGGGGGTGATATTGCCCCCATGCGGACATTTTTCCATGTTGAGGGGCGATTAGTAACAATTTATATTTTGGGGCCGAAAAACAATTTTCTGGGCGATATAGTAAAACATTATATTAAGAATAATTAGATATTTTATTCATTATATCAAACAATAATTAAACAAATAACATTATACTAGTCACTAGTCTATTCAATGCAGTACGAATTTGGCATTAGCCTTGGCCCTCGGCATCGGAATTTTGTAGTGAAGGGTGCAATACTACGTAATGGTTTTATTGAAGGGGATGATACTACGTTGAAGGGAGATGATTCGTTACAGGTTGAGAAGCACTGCTCTAAATGAAAAAAAATTATTGCTCTAAAAATAAAAAAATGTCTAGATAAGCAAAGATGGTAATTAGGGAGGATAATACATGAAGTATTTTTGAGTTATTCTTAAAGAAGCCAGAAAAAAGGAAGAAAAACCATTAAAATATTTAACAAATGGGTGACCAAAGTATAAGGCAGGTTCAATAAAAACTGGAAAATTTCCATTAAAATTCAGGAGAGCAAGCAACAACATAGTAATTTTGGCAAATGAAATTTCTAAATAGAGTCAATAGTAACTGTTACTGGCAATAGTGTTGCCAGTTACAATGCACACATGCAAGAGCATAAGACAACAGACTGATAAAAAGGCAATGCCTCCAGGAGTGCATGAAGGAAGAGCAGAATAACGTTGTCCAAGTTTTGACAAGTGAGAGTATAAAATCAATTGACATCCATTGGCAAATGCACTAACTGTAAAGAGACAAGTGCATATGTTACACCCAGATATATAAATAGAGTTCTAGGTTCAAACATGGCTACACTTTTGAAAAATTTTCCACAAGTTACTGCAGTCCCAGCTGTGGAGAATCCTCCACAAAACTAGCTGTTTTGACCTAGAACTGAACTGTATGAGTCTCACCCAGATGTACAAGTAGTTTCTTTACTGTATCTATATATTCCAATGGATGTCAATCAGTTTTATACCCTTGCTTGTCAAAAATCAGATAACACTGCTGGAGTGATGCCATCATTTTATCAATCTGTCATCTTATGTTCTTGCACATCAACAATGTTGCCAGTCACAGTTACTATTAACTCTAACTTGGAAGTTTCATGTGTCAAAATTACTATTCTATTACTTACCCTCCTGATTTTTAATACATTTTTCCAGTTTTCTATTAAATCTGTCTTGTAATTAATGTCCTGACATAAATCTGGACAAGCCTTAATCTGGCAACTTTACCAGAGCAAGTAAATGGAAAATAACATAATATAATACATTGTATTTTTAATAAATTAAGTCCTGAGGAAACTCTAAGTAGCAAAAGATCACTGCATCATTTTTGCTGCACTAGTCTAATCAATAATTCATTGCAAGTTAATGGAAAAGTGAGCTTGAAAGACAAATCAAGAAAAAACAAGGTGTTAATGGTACAAAAGAATACTTCTACAAATAACAAGTATTTCACTTCTGAAAGTATGTTTTAAATTGAAAATATTATAATATAATTAATAACAATTTCCTTCTTTTTCTACTAACAGGCAATATATTAATTATATTGCCTGTTAGTAGAAAAAGAAGGAAATTGGGGTTATAAGCTAACAAAATGTATATTGCTACAGTTTTATTAAGATTTATTTTGAAATTAAAAGATTTCATTAAAATGGTTTTTATATATTGAAATTACAAGTTCTGAAGTTTTTGATTAGAAGTGTGCTACTGTGCATACAAATAAAATGAAGTAGAATGGTATAACTGCTATATACAGAATGATGCCATTGACCATGTAATAAATTAGGGCCTACAGGCCTACTTTGTTATATAAAAATTACTTGAGTTTTGGACAATTGGAAATCTTGGAACCAAACCAAAAATTTAGTACAATATAAAAAATAATTACATATTTTTTTTTGTAATCTATATTCATGTAGTAATTATTTAATTTTTTTGGCATATTTTTGCACATATTTCTGCACAAATAGAATTTTCTAAACTTAATATTAAATAATTGTTGTCCAGTTTGTAACTTGTTTGAGTTTATTAACATCTCATATTTAAGCAATAACTACAGCATTTTTGTACTACTACAACTACTACATTTGTTGTAATGCTAATCTTTCATGTGATACATGACTTATACAACATATTTTACACACTCGACAAACCTTAGTCCAGTAATGTTTAAAATTTGTGAAACAAATGTTTTTGGCCTCACTCAAGATCTGCTTCAGGTTAAATTGAGAAGGAATTCCAAACTTAGAACACCTTGTATGGAATAATTTCAAATGTTAAATTTTAAAATAAAATTGGAACATGGTTATTAACTATATTTATCAGTTGCATGAGTGTGCCATCTATGTATAAATACATAAGGTGTCCCATGTAAACAGGACTGGTTGCAGGACTGGTATAACTGTAAATAATACACACTCACGGAGCATCAGCAACCTCTTGTTCCTCATATACATAGCCCCAGGTGTACGATAATGTGTTGCTGTTCTTAAAGTTGATACATTACCTGCCAGGCCAGCCTTGTATTAATGGCAACGCATTATCATATGCCTGGTGCTATGTATGTGAGGAACAAGAGGTAGCTGATGCTCCATGAGTGTATATTATTTACGGTTATACCAGTCCTGCAATTAATAGGTTTACATGAGACGTCCTATGTATTTATACATAGATGGCAGGCTCATGCAACCGATAAATATGGTTAATAACCATGTTCCAATTTTATTTTAAAATTTAACATTTGAAATCATTCCATACAAGGTGTTCTAAGTTTGGAATTCCTTCTCAATTTAACCTGAAGCAGACCTCAAGTGAGGCTGAAAATGTTCGTTTCACAAATTTTAAACGTTACTGGACATAAAGGTTTTGTCGAGTGTGTTCATTGACACCGATAATTAAGTTAGAAGATATTGTTACAGCATATTTTACTTATAAATATGAGATAAATTGCTCTTTTTGTGTATGTAGTAAACAACAGATGTCATAACAATTTGAAAATAGTTATAATCTGGGATATTCTTTGCTATATAAGAGAAAACAAGAGAAAGTCCAGCCAAATTTTCCATAAGAAATAGTGCAATAAAAATGTGTTAACTAATCTAACCTTTCCTTTATTGGCATTGATCATTTTATAACAAATACTACAGTATATAATTTTCCTGTTCATTTAGTTATCCTAGTTAATTTCTGTATGGAATGATTACAAGTGAGTATAAATGTATATTCTAATAAAACTTATTTGATTTTTTTTATTGGTATATTTATTACTATAATACTTGATAATTCTGTAAATACTTTTGTTATTACAGTGATATATTGAATTTATTTGTGCATATTTGAACAATGAAAACAGATTCTTTTCTTATGACAGCTGGAAATATGTGATATTAACATGTGAATTATTGAGAATATATAGATTTGTGATGCATCTTAGATTGCTTTTTTTTTTTGTGTTAAGTCAATAATCTAAATAATATATATATTAAATAGCGTTATGTTTGTCTAAACTTAACAAGCAACCAGATCTATTATTATTTATGCCATATGGAAAATTTTAAACTCAGATTTTTCTCAGAGTTTAAATTCAGATTTTTAAACAACTAGATCATCATCTATGTATTTTAAATTTATGTATTAAGATGTTTAATATAACCAGTGCTCTTTTTCTAAAAAAGTTATTAGCAGTATGCATATATGATTACTGAACTTATAGTATTGTTTTTATTGATCAACTACTAGTATTATATATCAGCTACCAATACTTTTTCATGATATTTGTTGGTATGGCATACTACATGCTCTGGCTGAAAAATAGCCCTGGATATAACTAATAATAAATGTCATTAAAATCAAATCGACAGTATTTACATTAAAATATATAAATAACATTTACTGAAACTACATAACTGTCTTCTTATTCCATCATTACAAATACCAGTGACTTCCAAAAACAATTTTCAGTCATGGAGACAATCTTTCATTTGAGGCTGCACTTCCACAATAAAATGCAAAATGGATAAAAAGTTCTCTGGAATTTATGCCACTAATAAAACTCCCAATAAAGTTCATTAAAATCAAATCTTGGGNTACAAATACCAGTGACTTCCAAAAACAATTTTCAGTCATGGAGACAATCTTTCATTTGAGGCTGCACTTCCACAATAAAATGCAAAATGGATAAAAAGTTCTCTGGAATTTATGCCACTAATAAAACTCCCAATAAAGTTCATTAAAATCAAATCTTGGGCAACAATATTTACTTTAAAATATATAAATGAAATTTACTAGGAACAAGACGACAATTTTGTAGTTTCAGTAAATTTTATTTATTTATTAATAAAATTTCACATATTTTTAAATGTGTGTGTGAATTGATAAATTCATAATTCAAAGTTGACCAAACTAATGATTAAATATTGTAATTACATAATCAATTTCTTATGTAAATTTAAAATGAAGATATGAAAGATAATAAACTGTTATACAATGGATTTAAAAGCTTTTCTTGCAATTTACTTTTAGATTGAAATTTTTAACAATGAATATAATTGTAGAGGTTAAACATCTAGACAGAATTGTCCAAATACTGCAAAATTCAGCATACAGCTATGTCTCAGACAGATGATTACAGTTGTGGTCCAATTGCATACCAGATAATGCCATTACAGTACCGTAAAATCATTACCCCAGCATCCTATAAAGCAGTGGTCCCCAACCCCCGGGCCGCGGACCGGTACCAGTCCGTGGATCAAATGGGACCGGGCCGCCCAAGAAACATTAAATTATTTCCATTTTATTTACTATGGTGTATTTCTCTCGAAACAACGAAATAAACTGGACATAAGAAACACACTTCGGGTGTNTGTTACAAATACCAGTGACTTCCAAAAACAATTTTCAGTCATGGAGACAATCTTTCATTTGAGGCTGCACTTCCACAATAAAATGCAAAATGGATAAAAAGTTCTCTGGAATTTATGCCACTAATAAAACTCCCAATAAAGTTCATTAAAATCAAATCTTGGGCAACAATATTTACTTTAAAATATATAAATGAAATTTTGATATATGAATATATCAAAATGTTCATTTTTAATTTATATATTTATATTTATATCTTTTACATATATCTTTTTGATATATTAAAATATATAAATGAACTGAGTTGATTCCACACTGAAATCAACTCACAAAACACACTTCTGGAAAAACAACAGAATGTCTAGCTCCTGTGCAATAGTATTCCCATGTACCATACACCTCACCTAGCAATGTCATGACGTCATGCAGTAAGTTTGGACAGGAAAGCAAGAAGTGATGTTGAGAACCGAAGACAGTTTTCATGCAATGCTACCCAGAATTTCCAGATTGGGGATTTTTATAACCTGACAGAAAATTTGGGGGTGACATTTTTTCATTTTGATCTTTTTTTCAGTAACTAAAGCATAAAAATTTTTATATGAACGAACCTGTAAAATACTGTTTAAGCATTGTGATCAAATGTGTTATTTGGAATTATTCATTAAAAAATTATTCCTATTTCTATATGACAGATTAACATGTTGCTTTTGCTTTCCAAAACCGAAACTGATAAGGCTACCAGCCAGTGACGTAGCGTAGTGGGGTGGCAGGGGCGGCCTGCCTCGGGCGGCACTTTTAAGGGGTAGCAAAATTTCACAATAAATAATAATAATATCTTGTAAAAATTTGAACCATTTCATTTCATATTTTTGTTGCACCTAGTGTTACCACCCGTCCGGTTTTTGCCCGGACAGTCCGGGGTCCGGGAATCGACTCACTGTCTGGGTAAACTATTAATTTTGTCCGGGAATTTCGTACGCGACCTGTCGACTTTTTTTTTTTTGCTTGTACGATTCGTATTCGTACACGTCTCCAATATCCGATAGAGTTAGGTCATGTGTAGTTGTTTTTCTTAATTTAGTTACTTATGTTACTCCTACGCAAGTCTCCCTAGTCCCTAACTGTAACTGATTTAGAACTGCCATGCATTGCATGTTATTTTTTGCATTGCAAAATGACATTGCACATGCGTCAGGAACTTCTGTTCGAACAAACCTCACTTGCCATCCGGGTCAGCGTTTTTGAAAAGGTGGCAACACTAGTCGCACTTACGATTCAGACTGATTGAAATGAGCACGGAATTTTTCATTACTTAATCTGTGACGAAACTGAATTTTAGTCTTTTAAATTGAGATACTTAAATAAGGGGGGGCGAAATCTTCCTCCGCCCTGGGCAGCTGATACCCACGCTACACCACTGCTACCAGCATCTACATTAATTAGTAAGTAAAGTTGGTGGTGATAAATAATTTGAAGTGGCAAAAAACATTTTTTAACTGGCAAAATGGTTATATACCCAAAAATATGGTAATTAAATATTGAAAAAAATAAATGCAATAAATAAACTCATAGCTTTTAAATATTCAATTACCTGAACCAAAATCTGTTACATCACAATTATCTTCATCATCCCAGCATCCAGAACCACCTCCAGAAAAAACTAGATCATCACTATCATAAATGGTACTTGATTGCTAAAATAAAATGGTATAGTTAGAGAATGGAATAATAAATATATAAATTTGTAAAAATACACATTAATAAACTTTAGACTAACTTGCTGCATTTCATTTTGAGTAGGAATACTTCTTTGCTGATGCATGTTATATGGTAGAGACATTAATAACTCAACATCTCCTTTAATGGTAATGCGAGGATCATTTTCTGATGCCATATCTAAAATTCTGATTCCATTAAATACTAAACCTGTAATGACACCTTGAAAAGGTCTGTCTATACTATCTCTAATAGCATTTTTTTTCCCTCCAACTTGAATTTTGGAATGATTATTAAAGATGCTTAATTGTCGACCTATAAATATTGTTGAAAATTTAAAAATAGGTTTTTGTTTTTTATAAATGTGAAAGAATATATGCTATGAATTCTTATCAATTTAAATTAATTTATCTTAATAGCTATTACTTAGATCATTAGACAACTTACACATTGAAAAACAAAATATATTTTGTTCTAATGTGTAAATTATTTTCTATTTTTCAATTCCATCTAGCAATTAAGAAGTATTACAATTTCACTTATATACATTTCTATATTTTTTAAATAAAATGTTTTAAACTTAAAGCTAAGAATAATTTCAAATTTCTATTATTAATGAAATCCTGATTTATTTGAGAAGCTAAATTAAATTTCACAAGCCCTAAGTATTTTTGAGCTTCCCACATCATCATCAGGAGTGTTTGTTTACTTTGTAAAGAGTAATAAAATCAAAATTACAACATTGTAAGTCTAAACGTAAATTAAGTTTAAACTTAGACTTTCAATGTTGTAATTTCAAATAATGTTTAAATATGTTCTCTTAAAGATATTCTTAACAACATGTTCAAGTGCATATTTTTACTACTATAAATATTACTATCTCGTACAATTTATAGAAATCTTCAAATTGCTGAAAAGTTTGGTAATTTTTGTAATTTATTGGAAAATAGGAATATGAATGAACTAACATGAATTTTAATTAATGAGGATGTAAAAACTGTCAGTTATTCCATTTTTTGCATTAATTCAAATATGATGGTTTGGATTTCTTCAATAAAGATATTAAGTAATTTGATTTTGATAAATTTATACTATATGTTTAATTAAAAAATATATAATAAAAGAAACTAAGTTGTCTTCAATTCTGTCATGTTCAAACACAAGGAACAAAACAGTCTTTCTTCACAGAGACAACATTTTATTAGAGGCTATGCATCTGAAAAAATATGTAAAACAGTTAAAGTAAGCCAATAATTAAAATAATACATAATTTCAGTTAAAATGGCAGATGGTTTATTTTTAATTATTGGTTTATCAACATTTCAACTGTTTTACATATTTTTGAAGAGTCATATCCTCTAATAAAAAGTTGTCTCTGCAAAGAAAGACTGTTTTGTTCCTGGCTATGACAGAATTTAAGACAACTTAGTTTCTTCTATATTTTTTAAAATTGCAAAAACACCATCTGCCATTTTAATTGAAATTTATACTAGTTGAAATTTAGTATTTAGGGATTTGGTATTTATTATTTAGGGATTTAGTATTTAGGGACAGTTTTGGTTATTGGAATCCTAAATCCTATTTGGTAAGAAAAAATTTTTAAAATTTTGAAGAAACCTCTGCAGAAAAATTCTATAATCTTAAATAATTTTGAAGAAATTTATTTGATTAGCAACAATTTTTGTTTTTTCTGGTGTATCATAAGTTGATACATATTTATAAAAAATTGTTTCATGCTTTCATTTGTTTTTTCATTATCTTATAAACATGATGAACCAAATTTTCCATTTTCTACGTTGACAGGTATGCAAATTATAGCCTTGGAATTACAATTATTAATACAGCATGTGTGTGTGTGTGTTTGTGTTTGTGTGTGTATTTGTATGTAGCAAAGACATGAAAGCCTACTGGACTGAAATGTGCATGTCTTCATCAAAATGAAAGTGCTACTAAAGGATCGGATCAGAGAATCAAATCAGAAAAGATGAAAGGTGTTGTGACAATTGTACTCAAGGAGGTAATGCAGAATGGGCTGCAAGACCGTTTTAATAATTGTATAATAATTGGTTTCATATATTTGTGTAGTAATTGGTTTTGAATATTGTCCGAAGTGTGTAGCTATAGAAGGTGCTTATTTTGAAGGTAATCCTCTGTAAATAGTTATACTATTGATGTGATAAAAATTATATTAAAAGTTTGGCTTGTTTTGAAATTTTCACATATACAGAGTGTAGACATTAACATTAAACTAGGCTACATCTCACTTCTGCTTTGTAGTAATTAAATGCCATTGCAATGGAGCATGATGGGATGGAGGACTGTTTATTAGTTTGGATGCTATTCATGCAAAGCCATGCAAAGAAGCTTTGTATGGTTTCGTCATTCATTTTCTTGATGATGTCCAGCCACTTCCTCTTTGAATACGTTACTGAGAAAAAATATTTTGTACTGATTTTGAGATACTATGCAAGATACTAGATAATTTGAATTATCCAGTATCTTACCTAGAACCTGATATAGGATTTGCCCCCATGAGAAGGTTAGGGTGAATGGCATACAAACAAATAACCCACTACTGATTACCTATACTCCAGTAAAATTACATTTAGTTAATATGTCGCAGAAGAAAAATGTATCCGGAACCTGTAACCGGTGCGTGACGCATATATATTGTATACCGCTGTTGACAAACAATCTCTTTGCTCTTCGAAAATGTTCATTAACAGTGGTATACAATATATACATGTCACGCACCGGTCACAGGTTCCAGATAGTGTAGTGTAGATTTCACCTCAGTGCTTGGATTAGAATAGTTTCTCTATTTAAAGAAAAGGAATTTTGAACTTAACAATTTGGAAATTATAACACTGTTTCACAACTGAGTGATGATGACAGAAATAAAGACTGAGAAAGAAACTCAAAAAGAGATTGTAGCACTTCGTGACTATTTCCTTTTTTTTTCGTTTCGGGTTTCTTTTTTTTTTTTTCGCCCCTTTCGTTTTATTTCGCGTTACCACTCTTCCATGGGTAACTGTGTATCGGCAGCCGGATTGGCTGGTCGAGGATCACGTGCGGTATTTCCGGTTTACAAGATATATAAGGGGTGACCCACGTTGTGTAGTAAAATTTTCGTTCCTGGGATGCCTGGCTCGACCGAAGTGGAAGAAAGAAGAGGATTGGCGTCGGAGTGCTGAAGAGAGAACAAAGGAAAGGATTGGTGCCGAAATAGGAACTGTGCGGTCATAGACTCTAACTCCCTCATATAACGGAAGATTGAAGGAAGACTCGTCAGCACGGAGTGTTTCTTCGAGTGTTTTGTTCACGACCAAGTTTTTTTCTTTTGTCGTGAGTAGTGCTTAGTTAATTTCTTTGTTACGCGCCGTTCTTGCCCCGCTTCGCCACGTGTTGTGAGCCTCATTGTTAAGGGAGGTAAAGGAACGAGGTAAACGTTTGTATTCGTTGTTTTGATTCGGATGTTTTATTGTGACATTGATTCGCGATTCATGTAAATATCTCGATTGGGATTGACGAATTTTAATTAAAAAGGAATTGACTGTTGTGAGCTGACTTGTCCGTGTATCCTTTTGTTCAACCCTGCANAACGTTTATTGACTTTCGCGGTAGGGGGTAACGCGGGGTCGGTTGACAAATTTTCTCGCAGTAGTGCAAAAGTTCTACTCACTTCGCTTGAAAGTGTCATATTTCTTCCCCACTTACAAACAAACCCGATGGCAATCGGTGAAACAGGAGATAAATTACAGCGAGTTGAAATTTGATATGTTTATTTTTTTGCGTTTTTCGTATCGAATTACATAAAAATAAATATTAATAAATTCATTTTGTCAATACGCAAGTAATTTATATTACTAGATAGAAAACAAAGCGCAGAATCCAACTAAGAAACTGTACTTTCTTTACGCAAAAGATAAAATTGAATTATTTCATATTAAAAACACTGGGTCTGTGAGACCCATGCGACTCAAGTAAGGGCCCCATTCCTAGCGACTTACGGAGGGTTAAATAAATATTTATAAGTAATAGTTATAGTTAAAAATCAGTTATACACAAATATACCTACCACGTGGATTTTTAGACCGAATATTATGATTATCTACTTGTATTGTTGAATTTGGTCCCGAACGTGTAAAACGCACTACATGATATCGACCATCATTTACTTGAACTCTAGGTTCACCTATGGGATGATCTTCTGTACCCATATTATAGACTACAAAAACACATCCATCAACCTATAAAATAAATATATGAATAATTATTATATATTAACTGTATACATAACTAAATGTAAAATTGTCATAATTAGTTACTTCATAAACAATTATTTACTTATAGAGTAATGATTTTTAAAACTAAAGAAAATTAACAAATATTTAAAGACATATTATAATAATATCAAAGAAATATGGAATAATGTTTTAATGCTTACAATTTCAACTTCAATATAATCATTGCCACTACCACTATCAATTCTTACAAGAACTGCATTTTTACTCATTGTGATCAATCCTAAAGCTAACAGATCACTCTTTGTATCTGGTTCATCAGATGATGGATATAGAAAAGTGATGATTCCAGTATCTGGTCCAAACTCATAAGCTGTACTGTCTAGAATTAAAACAAAAAATTTAAAGATTTTTAATTGAGAAAATACAATTCTTAATTATTTTCACATATTTAATTTATAGTAAATATGAATATATTCATCACAAAGTTATGGAATATATTAATTGTAATTATATTTATAACAATAACATTCTAACTAAATTGACATACTGAATAAAATAAAACTAAAAACAATATCTTAATGATGCACCAGCAGAGAGGTATGAATGTCTATCAGATATTTCAATCCAGTCAGATATATACAGTAGCAAACAGCATTTACTTTTGTAAAGATATTTATGAATTTTAACCCAATAGTTTTTTAAAATGACAAAACTAGAACTGCAGAATGTTATATTTCTTTAGTCAAAGAGACAAGAACATAGTCTCATAATCAATTATCTTAATTATTTTGTAGATATATTCAAAACTAACAAACCTATCACTAATTGAAATAAGCTCATGCATTTACTGCTTGGATAATTGTGATCAATATAAAAAAAGAATTGAAGATACTTTGTCACTGAATCTAGTAGTGGTGTGCCGTCATTGGAAGCGGTGGATGTGCCACTTCCCTTATATTTTCTAAAAAATAAATACATATTAATTTTAATGACAGACATTTTTCCAGTTTTCTATTAAATCTGTCTTGTAATTAATGTCCTGACATAAATCTGGACAAGCCTTAATCTGGCAACTTTACCAGAGCAAGTAAATGGAAAATAACATAATATAATACATTGTATTTTTAATAAATTAAGTCCTGAGGAAACTCTAAGTAGCAAAAGATCACTGCATCATTTTTGCTGCACTAGTCTAATCAATAATTCATTGCAAGTTAATGGAAAAGTGAGCTTGAAAGACAAATCAAGAAAAAACAAGGTGTTAATGGTACAAAAGAATACTTCTACAAATAACAAGTATTTCACTTCTGAAAGTATGTTTTAAATTGAAAATATTATAATATAATTAATAACAATTTCCTTCTTTTTCTACTAACAGGCAATATATTAATTATATTGCCTGTTAGTAGAAAAAGAAGGAAATTGGGGTTATAAGCTAACAAAATGTATATTGCTACAGTTTTATTAAGATTTATTTTGAAATTAAAAGATTTCATTAAAATGGTTTTTATATATTGAAATTACAAGTTCTGAAGTTTTTGATTAGAAGTGTGCTACTGTGCATACAAATAAAATGAAGTAGAATGGTATAACTGCTATATACAGAATGATGCCATTGACCATGTAATAAATTAGGGCCTACAGGCCTACTTTGTTATATAAAAATTACTTGAGTTTTGGACAATTGGAAATCTTGGAACCAAACCAAAAATTTAGTACAATATAAAAAATAATTNATAAGTATAAAGGACAGATTTTGTGGGGGTACCCGGGTAAACTTGGGAGTCTCCGATCTTCTCTATATTGGTACTTGAATTAACTCAATTTCCTTCCTCTTGATTCCGTCTCTTGAGAATTCGGGAGCGTTTTTTCTTGAGGTCTTATGGCTGGATGTCTTTCTAATTTTCGTCCGTTCGCAGACGACTTCCAAGCCTTCTCCGTTTGTCCCACTAGGCGACAAACCTCTAGCTTGCTCTTTCCTACGTCTGCACACCTCAGACGCTGACCCAAAAGTATCCAGTTCGTTCTCTCTGATGGCCTCAGGGCTTCTTAATGTCCCTTTTGTCTTCTCCCCTTTGTCCTTGGACAAAGGTCGTCCCCCACCCACAGAAAAGGAATAGGTTAGAAAGTTCTAGAAACACGTTAAAGACAAAGGAATTTAGGAGAAAATAAAATTTATATCTACCCCTATTTACAAAAACATGGCGTACCGCCACAAATTTACTGGTATGTTTTTATGATAGTTCTGTACAGTTGACAGGAGTTCAAAAAAATCCATTAAAATATTTGATATTTTTATTCCACTCTCCAATTTAATATTACTCACAGATTTCAATGTTAAACCAGTGATATTACGATTTTGTATATCCCATCTTTAAGGGGATGTAGAAAAAAACACATACAATTCTTGTATAATGTTAAAAAATTAACTGTTACTTTGACAGCAACATTTACAACTAAATTTAATGAATGAGAGAGATGTGTGAGGTATAGAAAAAGCTCTAGAATTTATTTTCCTTAAATTTACGATTTATGTATCCGTTTGTCATAAAAATTTGTCTTTCCACTTTTTCCCAAGACTACAAATATTCGAGTACAAAGTAACTGGTTTCGACTTATTTCTACTTAAATAGTAATTAAGTAATTAAGCGATTAGGGAATTGGGGACATAAACAAAACCCTGCTGAAAGAGCCGGAATTTTACTTAAACAAAAGCTTAACTGAATCAATCTCTAGCTGAGTATAGTGGAGACTGATTTCTTCATATTATTAATGTAATAAAGACAGAAATTTTTCCAGTTCAATGAGAGTGACTGAAAAGTTGAAAATTTTGGAAATTTCCGTGGACACCTGGTTCTAAAACGAATTAGTTAGAAAACAAATGACTATTAAGTTTAACATATTTAGATTTTTACAGCTATGGTGAGAAACATTTAAAATCTACAACAGCCCTGTCGCGTCCTTTGAGATATACTAGTGATGCGACAAAAGAGTTATTTGACATTGACTGGTATCGGCACCCTAGGTATTTGGCAGTCTGCGTGTATGCACGCTCTGCAACCGTCTTCGATTCCATCCATTAGCCACTTGTAGGGAGCTATTTGACTAAGTGCATTGTTTTAAGATTTAAAAAGTAAAGAATATTTTATATTTNACATGATTTTTTTAAATTAAAAGATGATTAAAAATTGCAGCCTGGCATTGTTGCAATGTCACAATAAATAATTGTTTTTCCATTAAATTTATTCTCAAGATATGCAAATTTCATATTCAACTGCTAATTTACACTAATGTAATTCATGAATATATGGAATACTTATCGTTGTTTATTTTTAATTCCAACTACGGTATAGGATAATGCTTCATTTCAATGAATGATTTTTATGATATAGTTTTCAGAAAATCACCTCTAGCTTCAGATAATTTCATGTAAACTGTGCATTTAAGAAGTTTATTGAAAACTACATGTATGTGTTTGCTATCCATATTTTTACCAGTATATATCTAAATATGATTATTTAAATTTATAAAACAATTAGAAATTTGAAGAATATATAAATATGCTAGGAAAATATACTAAACTACTATCAAGAAAAAATGTATATTTAATCTATGAAAAAGTTTCAGTTTTTAAGAATGTCAGTCAGTTTTTTTTAATTTATATTATTTAATTGATTTATAAAACAGATAATATTATCTGTTTTATAAACTCAGTGAAAATATTATCATACAATGATATCATATAATAATATCATACAATGATTTCATATAATAATATCAATACAATAATATCATACAATGATTTCCAAGAGTATTAAAAATATTTTTTCAAATTAAATATAAAACTAGTTTCTTTAAGAAAGTGGAAAAATTATTTAATCATAAAAATAATTTTATATATCAGATATAAAGTTTCATTGAGTGAATTCAAAATCTGTACAACATTTTTGATATTTTCTTGATTTCAAAATTCTACCTGTGGTATTTTAACTTATATGAATGCATGTCTCTTTAATCCGAATGACTATTAAGTTCAGTAGACTATCATTACAGCTTTCAGGTTAGACACTTATTTTACTGTTTTCTCATATGCATTTCAGGCTTATATAAATGCTGAGCCCCTCTTCAGTACAATATTAAAATTGTCACACTTATATGATACATATGGTTCTGTCTTCTAAAACCATGGTATATAACAGGTAACATTGGAAAGAGTTTTCAATACAGCACTGAAGAGGGGCTTAGCATTTATATAAGCCTGAAATGCATATGAGAAAACAATAAAAGAAGTGTCTAACCTGAAAGTTGTAATGATAGTCTACCGAACTTAATAGTCATTTGGATTAAAGAGACATGCATTCATAGAACGTAATAACAACTACCATAAGTGATATTTAGAAGTATTTTAACTTATTTTATTATTTTAATTAAAATGCCATTTATTTGAGCGGCTGAGTGGAAAAGGCATCTTCAATCTATCTTCCAAGAAACTTTCATGATTCAATTACATGTCCTACAAGTTGTATAATACATCCATATTAATAAAGCACTGCACATTAAAATGCTGATGAATTGAAAATCTTTCTTTTTCTGAAACACAAATCTTTCTTTTTCTTGAAAAATTCCTAATGTGGGATATGCTGTTTTTCCACTCAACCCTCAATTTATGTAATGAAATTAAAATTATAGAAAATACACTTTAAAAAAATTACTTTATTGGAGCTAATAAAGCAAAGTTTATGAGTTTTCGAAACTGGCGTTTTGTTCATTATTTAGATTTAAAACAATAATTTATTCAAAAGTAGTTTGTATTTTACAAAGTTTTTATAGAGCAATTTTTATCATAATATATATCCCTTGTTCAGAAATATGAAGAGATGTTTATTGGGAACTAATATTATAAGCAAGCCTATATACATAAAATAGTATATTAGCATTAGGTAATAGGTAATAGGGAAAAAATAATGAGTTTGAAATTTTTATTTATGGNAAGGTTGGGGACTGCTGCTATAAAGGCTTGCAGAGACTCACTGTTTTCAGAATTATCAATGTACTGGTTGCTTGGAGGACTTCAAACTCTAGACATGTCTGTATGATGCAGTCAAAGCCATACATACAGCTGACGAAGTTTCAGAAAGGTGACATCATCAGCTGAGGGATGCAAGATGGCTGTTTTGCTGAATTGACTGCCATCTCAGCAGTTCTAACCTGTCTTTGAGATGCATTGGAAGCAATGGATACATGAGGACACATACACAATAGACAGGCTCTGGATGCTCTAGACAGACCATCAGGAGCTAGAATTGTGTTCATGAGGCAAGCATGAACAGCTGAAATGACACCTTTGTCCTTTGCCCAGAGATAAGTAGAAACTTTGCTATAGAACCCCACTCTTTGTATACCACTGGCTGGCAATTAGCAGAGGCAAATTTACATGCACAGCAACCACTATGCCTGTAATCCTGCCATTGGCTTTGTTTGCAATGGCACTGTGACAGAAAAGCAGGGACTGTCACAGAATGGCAATGTATTGTCATTAGCAACAAATTCCACTTCAATCCCACCTTTACTGTTTGAACAGCATATTAGTCTAGGAAGCCATCTCACTTGACAGTTGGTTACCCCTAGTAATTGTATAAGAAACATTGATATAAGTTCAGGAAATCTTGCATCCTCGTATGTTGCCATTCATGGCAGGGTTGCTAACATCCATTTTCCAGAAGGCTAATGCTTGGCTTTACACAGTTAAAGTTTTCCAGGAATGTCTTTGCCACATTGTCACACTTCCTTAGTCTGTTTTCCAGATTTATCACTCATTGAGCATTTGTGGGACTAGATGGGAATGCCAGCTTTGTCCATCTACAAGTGTGAGAGAGCAGAAGCAGAAGTTGCAACATCTCTAAGCAAATCTGTTACAGAATAGCATGCAATGTCTATATTACCTCATATGCAGGCAAGAGGATGTCCTACAGGTACTAAAGATTCTTTTAAATTTTACTATTGTTCCACAATAAATTGGCCATTTGCTAAGATATTGTAATCATCTATTACCATCATCATTATATTTGCACTAATGAAGATTCATTAGTGCAAATGTAATTCAGTTCCAATGCTTCTTTCTTGGTGCATAACTTTTTTGTCAATGTATCATTACAAATTACATATGTACTATACCATTATTTCTCACTATTGTTGAAATATAAAAATAATATATATATACATATATAGTGTGTGTGTGTGTGTGTGTGTGTAATTTTCCAATACAAAAACTTCTACTTCTGAATTCTTGTTCTGAAGTGTAAGGCGTTTCTAGTAATCACTTGACTTTTATATAAAAAGTAAGAAGCTAACAATAGACAAGGGTCGGCGATGTCTAATGAGTTAGCGGTTTTACAATAATTTTTGAGAAATAAGATCGTTTAAAGTGTGAATTTAGCTGTAAAATTATGTGATGTAGTACTTAAAACAAGATGAATACTTACAACATAAACCTAAGCAACGTACCAAAGCAAGTATGAAGACAAGATGAAGAAAGCTTGAACAGATCACACCAATTCTCTATTGAATGTCATTGTACGCGTACGGCTATCTAGAAAAAATCGGGTTAGACAGAGAAATATTTACTCGATTAATTGATAAATCCTCATTAATAATTTAATTTTTTTATTTTACCATTGTCTACGTTGGACTTACAGTCATATATTAATGGGACTTATTAAACTGATGTTTCAGTTGTTGCAAATAGAGATATTATTCAGGAAAACAAATTCTTTATTTTTCACCTGGTTTATCTATCACTTGTACACACTGTTTTTGTGTTTCGGACCCGATGGCATTCTTCAGCAGGTTTACATTCGAATTCTATAACAAGATTTTTATAAAGTTTATTTAAAAAATTATAACAAGATTTTACGCGACAGTTTCAAAACTTATAAAAATGACTTACAGAATTCTTATTGTATATCATTAACACACAGATATAGACATAAAGCATCCCTATAATTGGTATTAACATAATTTTAATTTCTACAGAAATCCTTCCTATATAAAAAATAAAAAATAAAATTGTTTTAAAATTTAGAGTTTTCTAAAAGTATTTTGAAAATTACTCTACTCACTTAGCACCTTTGTTTTTAGTAAACTTCCTTCTTTCTTTTCTTATCATCTTTAAATGCCTTTCTACCCGTTACGCCCGTTCTTTATACAATGTTCTGCAACTGCCAAATTTAAATTTTTTCCTTTAATTGTTCTAATACGTTCCTTAATACGTTTTTGTTTCACCTATGTACGTTTTCTTTTGTACACAACTACATTGAAAAAAATATACCACTCGTTCTTCTTCTATTTTTTCAGTTGTTTTACTATTTCTACCATACAAATATACAAATATATTTTTTTAATGGAGGAGTATCTGCGCTGGATAATATACAACCGTTCATAGGCGCTGTCTATAAGTGACTTCAACACTGGAAAAAGTGAAGCAGGGGGTTAAACAATTTCTAATCCAAGTGGAAAATAAAAGAAACAAAGAAAAAAAATGTCGAATGTAGTCATAAATAACAGTTTCGAAGACAGTTCTGTCGGCTGGGAGCGGTGGCTCGTTCCTGTAATCCAGCTTCTGGGAGGCCGGAACTAGAGGACAACTAAGAGGATAGAAAATGCTTTTGCGGTGTACTACGATGACCGGATGTCCGCACGAGGAAAAACGTCGTTTCGGTGGTCACCACGGAAAAGATTTAAAGACAGGAAAATATCTGCCTGGGTGTTTCACTTATACGAGGCAAAAGTCTCTGAGTTCTTCGATAGTGGGATGATCTGTGAGTTGATCCGTGTGGGCATCCTTTCGATATGGTTAGACCTAGTTCTGCATTTTGTTTCAAAACTTATTATTTTCGTACTTTTTTATTTTACGCAGACGTAAATTCTTTTAGTTTTGCTTGTCTCGATAGATGGCGTCATCGACAAATCGACTGTACAGAGCTAGATATATACAGTGTTGCCATGGAACGTATGTCCGCCATATTTCTCCCATTCCGGATTTCTGTGAATGACGTTGTAATGGAAAGTTTTTCGGATTTCAAAGTCAAAAATAAAATTCATATATTTATTAAGGATTTAATTTTTAAATAAAAACAAAATTTAAAGCTAGATTGTTTACAAATAAAGCAAATTAAAATTTTTAATATTTTCGAAAAATGAAATGTTATATCTTAATAAGCATTATTACAGCAACATACGTATATCATAAAATGTAAGAAATATTTCGCATCAGAAATATTATTTTAAATGTAGTAAAGTGCCTGATCGTGTCATATTAAAAATCGATATTGCAGCAAATCTATAACAAAGTTTACATAAACTTTGCATAGGAAACAATAGAATTTCTACTAANTTTAATTTATTTAATTTAATATATATGCTCTCCACCTCAAATTAGTACTGTAGTGTCTTGCCCTTGCACAACATACTTTTCCCAATAACAATAGAGCCATGCTGGTCATCTGTGTAACTCCATTCTGGAAAAAATGTTTGAATTGAAATCACGTGACTTCTGTTCTAGACTGAAAGTTTGTGTATAGTTAATCTGGGCCTCCTGCCACTAAGCTTTCCATATCTGGTTTCAACTTTCATCTATCTAACACTGTTCTTCAGATTAAGGAAGAACAGACAGACCACGGACAGATGGATGACAGTGGAAATTTACAGATCTACAATTTTTTCAAATTGCATCACAACAAAAAATATTTAGTACCATGTGATTTTGATTTATACAGCTTTTACTGTAAAATGTAGTTGCTATTTTACATTCATTAAATTCAGTTCTCACAATATAGAAAGAAAACTTGATGAAAAGCTATGCATTCAAATATGAGATAGATACATGTAAACTGTCAATTTTTTAATTTTACAGAATAACTGAGAACTGAAGAATAATTATTACAGAAAGTCAAATAAAATGTAAAAGAAATGGACTTTTTAAATAGTATAATTATAAATCTTATTTCAAAAATTTATATATAAATCATATATTTATTCATAAAGGTTAATTAATCTTAAAATTTATCTAATAAAAAATATACAAAATAAAAATATACTTAATTACTAATTTCTCACCTATCAAATTTTCATATATGCTTGGAACTTATTCAGGAATCCTTCATAAATCGCTAATTCCAGGACACCCACCCGTTTTTCATGCTTGATGAGAATAAGAATTGGATTTAGTCATGAAAATGGGCCTTACATTCTGGCCATCTAATAGTTAGTGTGTGAACATCATCACTGCATTAATTTCAGTGTAAGGGCAATGGTAGTCAATTCAGTGGATAGGCAAGAAGAATGAGCAATAGTAATGAAATTATTTGCAATGGAGGTGTACCTGTACAGACATTCATTACTGAGAGAATATTTAAGAAAGAAAATTCATGTTCCAACATATTTGAACAGTGCATGCACTATTGGGACAAATGGAAATCAGTAGTCAACAATCTCTGGATGGAAGCTCTGTATTCAACCACAACTGAAACAAACATTCAATGAGTACAGGAATGCATATTGAAGGAATATTGAATGAATACATATGAAATTAATGATTGTGTTGGTATATTTAGGGCTCTGTAAACAACATCATATGTGAATACCTTCATTTCAGCAAAGTTCTGTTCAGTGGTTTCCAAAGGAATTGACATCAGAATAAGATCATCATAGAAACAGGGTATGTCAGGACTATTTGGCATATAAAACAGAAGACTGTGACTTCACTGATAGAATAATGAAATATAATATGACCTGGTGCATCACTACACACTTGAATAGTGGCACAGTCAGGAGAGAGTGGCCCCTAAAGTAAATTTCAAAAAAACACCAAAAAATTGTTTAAAAAATGAAAAAAACAGCAATGTTTGCTTACTTTTTATAATGCTTAATAGTATTACAAGGAAGTAAGTAAAAAACATTATTTTTTTACAAATTTTATAATAAAAAAAAGTGGCAAAAATTTTTTTCTCCCTACCGGAAGTTTCTGATTGTACTACTGAACCTGAAAACAAACAGGTCTTGCAGCAATGGAAGCACACTGAATCTCCAATGTCAAAAATATTCAAGATGTAGACATGTATGGGAGAAGTAACAGCAACTGTCTTTTGGGTCTACCTTGATATTATACACATGGACTTTCAGCCAAAGGGGAGAATGAAAAATACAATTATTATTCAACATTGTTTAGTACAGAATGTTTAAGATCAGCCAATTGTCAAAAGAAGTTGTGGCTACTGTGAAAAGGACTGGTTTTTAGCATGAAATTGCATGCCCAATATAGCACAGAAAACACTGGCTATCCAAAAAAATGGGCTGGGAAATACTGCAAGGACTTAGCACTAAGTGATTTTTACTTATGAAAGAATCATTGGCAAGCCAGAAGCTCATTAACAATGAAAAATTGTAAATGAGCTTCAAACAATTGTTTCCTATCTACTACCTCCAAAGATTTCTACACTGTGACCATTACAATGTTGATAAAACAGTGGCATCACTGAAGGTGAGGGCATAGCTAGACCAATTATAGTAAGAATGACTAACAAGATACAGGATGGTTTTACTGGCGTTTCAGGGTCCTGAACCTTAGAGTTTCTCTCTGAAGTACAGGACTGGGGCTCTCTGATAATACTATTAAATAATGTACATACAAAATGGTACAAAAATATTTGAAATTCAAATGTTAAATATTCTTTATTTATATTGTTTAGATCCCATTTTAATTTCTTCATCACTACAGCAACAACCAATCAGACTGCACTTTATTATTTAAAGATCAACATTTAGAGTTACATTATATTTTCAAACACTATGCCATAACCCAATAATGATAGCTGAAAGTTGTTGAAAACATTTATTTTTTGGGTAAATATTGTTTTTTTTATTGGATTTGGGTTTAATATGGTATTATTCATAATTTATCCAGATTTTGTGGTAGTTGTATTATAGTAATATTTATCATATCAATGAACAACATTTATCTAAATATTTATAATTAAAGAATATAGACTAGATTAATCAAAATGTAGAAAATGTATTTGTTTCATTTGCAATCAATTAATGAATTACCAGTACTTGATATTATTAAATGATCTTAGTCATATACAGTATATACTGTACATCTTTGCATTAAAAATATGTCCTAGTTCAATTCAAAGATTGCCAGTTTCCTTGATTACAAGATTGCCAGTTTCCTTGATTAGTGGTTTCATCTATAATCTGGATCATTATCATTATTCAGATACTATCTTATTATTAATAGCTGAAATTCTAAAACAGCTTTAAATTCCCAAGGATAATAGAAGAGATAATAGGCTCCAGGCTTCTTATCTCAAGTATGATCATTTAAGGAATTTACAGAATATCTTTAATATAAACCATAAAATTTATTTAATACAATATTGAAAATTCACTCTCTCTTCAAATTAACAATACAAAAATATTTATATTCTTCAAGTGTTTTAAATTTTATTTCTGAGCTATTTTCTATTAAAACAATTACCCATTATCTAACACTTGATATCCTATTTTCTGTATCTAATATTTTCACAAAAACTATCAAAACCTTCACTTTTGCAATATTTATAAAATAATAATTTATTCTTGTTCGTACTTCTATAACAATAATCTTAGTTTTGTGAATATAAAATATAGCCATCTACTTTTAAATTTATTTTTCTCTTAAGTTACAAATATAAATAACAAAACCCAAACATTTTAATCATATCATTATTAATCATATCATTGTTAATTATTGTTTGGTCAAAACATAGCCTGGGATATTCCTGTGTTTTAATGATTTGAAAAATAAAATCTTAACTTCAAAATCAAAGAAACGAAGAAAATGACAAAATGAATATGATTATTATGATTATTCTTTATTCTACTGCTGGTAGGAAAAGAATTACCACCAGAGGTGGCCCTAGAATTTGTGAGGCCCTAGGCAAAATTTATTTTAAGACTCATTAAAAGAGCAATGGAGGTAGAAGATAGATTTATTTAAGTCTACATAATATGAATAATTAAAATATAGAAACAGACAGTAAATCACTGAAAAAGTAATAAAAATGTGTACAATAGTTATACAATGAATTTGAAAGTTCAATTAGTATACAGAAATTCATCTATAAAACTGCTCCCCAACTTTTAGCCGTGCTAAGTTCAACAACAACAGAAGAAAAGTACAGTTCTGAAGATATCTCTCTTTCAATGGACAAGATCAAAACTGAAGAAAGTCTCTGTTGATACATTGTCGATTGGAAGTAGTTCTTAACCAATTTTAACTTTGAANTTTATACAGACATTAACTTATCATAAAAAGGTACTAAAGTTACTATTACATTTTAATTTTTTTAGTTTGAATTAATTAATTATAAAAATCATTAAACTTTTCATCTTAAATAAGTAAAAAATAAAAGTCTAGAACCTGAAAATTATTCATCTGTCCATTTCTTATCATTTCGAAGTAGTGTTTTCCATTGAAATAAAAATGTTGCATTTGTCCTACAAAACCAGTAATATCCTTACTAGGTGAATGATATTCACCAAATTGCAATCCAAGATATATATTTTTGATATCCAAAAGGGAGTTATGATCAATCAACTCTGTTTAAACAAATATTTATTGAAAACTATTTTGTAAATATGAAAACAAAAATCAAATTATCAATACAAAAATACCATGGCTGACTGTTTCTGTGTCAATAGTAACTTCTATTTGAAGACCTCTACGTTTAATCCAAAGCTTATGCCATTCATCATCATTTTTTCTAAAACCAACAAGTATTATCTGTAAAATATAAGATTTTAGGATTTAATAAAAATGTTTATTTAAAAAAAATATATATTTTGCATAATTTGTTTTTTATCTTAATTTGTGAAACAAAACTCTAAAAACAAAATTTTGTAAATAATTAATGTATTACTTATGGTAATTAATTATAATTTATAAATAATTATTAATAACATAGGTTTAGAATAATAGATAAATACCAGTTTTAGTTCTATATTCAAGTAATCAAATTAATAATAATATCAGGAATTATTTTTGTTTTTTTAATCATTACCAAAGAAAACATTTACAGGAAAATAATATATTGAAATTTTTATTAACTGATAGTAATAAATTTCATATAAATATGTTAAATNTCGTAGTTCTGAAGATATCTCTCTTTCAATGGACAAGATCAAAACTGAAGAAAGTCTCTGTTGATACATTGTCGATTGGAAGTAGTTCTTAACCAATTTTAACTTTGAAAATGATTGTTTGACAAATGAATCAAATACCAGTACAATTATGTTTTCAATAATTAGTAATAACATCATTAAAATAGTAAAGTATACCAGAAATTTGCAAAGCCCTAGGAGTTGTCTTTTTTCATCTTTATGTAGGGCTGCCTCTGATCACTATTTCTCATGGTATCACTTAGAGTTCTAATAAAAATTTTGCTGGAGTCAACAGGCCATTGAAATATTTATAGTAATTAATACATTCACATTTTAATTGTGCATCTAAATGCAAGAACTCAATTATTATCTAATTTCTAGTGAAAATTAGAAATGTAGTGATTTTATACATTTTCTTTTCCTCCTTTTGGAATCATACTGTGCATAAATCATATTGTGATTTATATAATTTATAATCAACTTATCAATTCAAAATTATAAATTATCCATTTTTCATCTACCATTTAATGATGATATAAAGTAACGGAAAAACAATGATTTATAAAGTTAGGTAACTAAGGTAACCGTGTAACATTCTTTAAAAACAACAGAGGCGCATGCCTTGATACCACTGAATCTGCCTTGAGCGACATCCATATTCTCAAAATTCTGGATATGCCACTTCTTTTGAAAATACTGACCTAACTCTTTTTATTAATGAAGGTGGAGTAGATCCTCACATAGGTAAGCAATAACTTACCTATCAATAATTGTGCATGAGAAAAAGAGAGAGAACATAAAGTCAATCTAGATGAGATACTTTGACATGATCTCCAAAAAATTTCCCTTCTAACAGCTTGTTTTTAAATTCTCCTAAGTAGTTTGTCAATATGATGCTTGTATTAATAAAGTTAACCTCCTATCAAAAACTTCTTCCAAGTCACTATATAAATCTACATCTTTCCAATTTTGAAATTATGTATGAAAATTACAAAGATAAGGATCACATAATAATGAAAAAACCATGCCAACTATTTTATCAAAACTAAAAAATTGGTTACTAAATAATTAATATAATATATTCATTATTTAATAATTCATTTTTCTGTAGAGTTTGGCCAGCATAGCAATGTCAATACATAAATTTCAGCAAAAAAAAAAAAACCCAAAAAATAGTAAAATGGATGTACTACTATAACTAACTCAGAAAAAAACCTAAATCCAATAACAAATAAACAAATTTAATATGTATACTAATGTTTTTGATCTTATTTAAAGATCATCATCAAATTCTTACTATTTTTTGCAGTAATTATTTAATTTGTTTTTTTGTTAATGGATTCAGGTGTTTTTTGATTTAATAACCAATATAGAATGTTGCAAAATAATTTAACCATATTTTTTTAATGTAGTAGTATTATTAATATATATATATATATATATATTATATTGCATTATAATATTATAAGCAAGCCTATATACATAAAATAGTATATTAGCATTAGGTAATAGGTAATAGGGAAAAAATAATGAGTTTGAAATTTTTATTTATGGATTAATGGACAATTACAGATCAATATAGTAATTATTAAACATGGATAAGGAAATTAATTTTGTAACTTGTTTACAATGCATTTTTTAATAAAACTATTTCTATTTTTGTAGTACACAGATAATAAAGAAAAACTTTCTAAACAAAAGCATACTGACTAAACAAATTTAAAAGTTAGAGATCATAATATTATAAAGATTACATTTATCTCTTTTTTTGATATCATAGATTTTCTGAATTTATGTTCAAATGAGAAGTAAGGTCTTCAAAAAAAATTTCCTAAGTTACAGATCATATGAAGAAAGCAACTATCATAGTTAAATTATCTTACAACACTATACATATTAAATATACTTTTAATAATTTCATGTAATATTAAAATTTATTGAATTTTATACAAGTTCTCTTGCTTTATTTACTGCATGTTTTTGTTGTTAGTTGCTATGACTTGAAAGCTCAAAATTAATTAATTAGCTGCAATTTTCAAATTGCAGACCTATAAATTCCCACTGTCATCTAACATCGTTCTCAAGATTAAGGACATGTCTGTCCTTAATCTTGAGAACGATGTTAGATGAAAAACATGACCAGATATGGAAAACTTAAGGGTCAGAGGCCCCAATTAACTACATAGGAACTTCTGGTCTTAACTAGAAGTCATATGATGGCAATTCAAAATTTTCTCAAAAAAAAGTTAGATAGCATGATTCAATTGTTATCAGGAGAAGTATGATGTACAGGGGCAAGACATAACTAAATTCAAGACTATATATGGAAAACCTAGGAGCCAAAGACTGTGATTAACTATATATGAACTTTTGGCCTGGACCAAGTCACATGATTTTTTTAAATTAAAAGATGATTAAAAATTGCAGCCTGGCATTGTTGCAATGTCACAATAAATAATTGTTTTTCCATTAAATTTATTCTCAAGATATGCAAATTTCATATTCAACTGCTAATTTACACTAATGTAATTCATGAATATATGGAATACTTATCGTTGTTTATTTTTAATTCCAACTACGGTATAGGATAATGCTTCATTTCAATGAATGATTTTTATGATATAGTTTTCAGAAAATCACCTCTAGCTTCAGATAATTTCATGTAAACTGTGCATTTAAGAAGTTTATTGAAAACTACATGTATGTGTTTGCTATCCATATTTTTACCAGTATATATCTAAATATGATTATTTAAATTTATAAAACAATTAGAAATTTGAAGAATATATAAATATGCTAGGAAAATATACTAAACTACTATCAAGAAAAAATGTATATTTAATCTATGAAAAAGTTTCAGTTTTTAAGAATGTCAGTCAGTTTTTTTTAATTTATATTATTTAATTGATTTATAAAACAGATAATATTATCTGTTTTATAAACTCAGTGAAAATATTATCATACAATGATATCATATAATAATATCATACAATGATTTCATATAATAATATCAATACAATAATATCATACAATGATTTCCAAGAGTATTAAAAATATTTTTTCAAATTAAATATAAAACTAGTTTCTTTAAGAAAGTGGAAAAATTATTTAATCATAAAAATAATTTTATATATCAGATATAAAGTTTCATTGAGTGAATTCAAAATCTGTACAACATTTTTGATATTTTCTTGATTTCAAAATTCTACCTGTGGTATTTTAACTTATATGAATGCATGTCTCTTTAATCCGAATGACTATTAAGTTCAGTAGACTATCATTACAGCTTTCAGGTTAGACACTTATTTTACTGTTTTCTCATATGCATTTCAGGCTTATATAAATGCTGAGCCCCTCTTCAGTACAATATTAAAATTGTCACACTTATATGATACATATGGTTCTGTCTTCTAAAACCATGGTATATAACAGGTAACATTGGAAAGAGTTTTCAATACAGCACTGAAGAGGGGCTTAGCATTTATATAAGCCTGAAATGCATATGAGAAAACAATAAAAGAAGTGTCTAACCTGAAAGTTGTAATGATAGTCTACCGAACTTAATAGTCATTTGGATTAAAGAGACATGCATTCATAGAACGTAATAACAACTACCATAAGTGATATTTAGAAGTATTTTAACTTATTTTATTATTTTAATTAAAATGCCATTTATTTGAGCGGCTGAGTGGAAAACGGCATCTTCAATCTATCTTCCAAGAAACTTTCATGATTCAATTACATGTCCTACAAGTTGTATAATACATCCATATTAATAAAGCACTGCACATTAAAATGCTGATGAATTGAAAATCTTTCTTTTTCTGAAACACAAATCTTTCTTTTTCTTGAAAAATTCCTAATGTGGGATATGCTGTTTTTCCACTCAACCCTCAATTTATGTAATGAAATTAAAATTATAGAAAATACACTTTAAAAAAATTACTTTATTGGAGCTAATAAAGCAAAGTTTATGAGTTTTCGAAACTGGCGTTTTGTTCATTATTTAGATTTAAAACAATAATTTATTCAAAAGTAGTTTGTATTTTACAAAGTTTTTATAGAGCAATTTTTATCATAATATATATCCCTTGTTCAGAAATATGAAGAGATGTTTATTGGGAACAAAATAATTTATTTTGCTGAATACTTTATAAATAATTAAATAAAATAACATTACTACTTTATAATAATTTTTCTTTTTTAAAATAAAATGTTTTACAATTTATATTAGTTATTTCTTAAACTTTTTTCTTTGTAAATTAATTTTTCTTTAAGATGTTATCATTATAAAAATGTTTATTAGTAATAATAGTAAAATATTTTTATTTTTAATTAAAATAAATTTTTACCTGCACATCCTTTTGAAACTAAGGTGCTTGGAATTATTGCATCATGTATAAGATCAATTGTCTCTCCCATCATATCGACAGATGCAAGACAACCTTCAAATCCATACCGAGAGCGAACTGGTTGAGGAAGTGTACTGTACATTGTTCTTCTAACACCACCAACATACAATAAATCATCTAAATCTAAATGAATATTAGATCCTGAGCTAGTAAGTGTTGTAATAACATCATCAACCATCATTGTATGTTGATTTGGTAAAAGTCTACTAATTGTAACAGAATGCCAAGCATTATCATTAAGTGTGTTTCTAGTGTTAGATTTCATTTTACGAGGTCCATCACCCATATTAAAAATACAGTAGAGATGGCCATTGACCAATTCAACTGCTATGAAATCTTGTCCTTTACCTTTATTATATAATATCAAACCATTTGATTCTGAAGTTTTAAATTGGAAGTATAAATTCATGATAAAATAGGCTTTCAATTGAGGTAATCCAATAAAAGTGAATTTAGATTTAAAAGTCACTGGATGATGCACAATTTGTTCTTTATCTCCAAATTTTGTTGTCATCTGAAAATATATTCAAGTAGACTATGAATACCATATTATTATTATTATTATTATTATTATTATGTTCATTTTATAATCTAATTTTCTAGACATCTACCACATGCTTATGCCAGACCTACATTGTATGAATGTCATCAAAGAATTTTATGTAAGAACATTAAATAAAATTATTTTCATATCTTTCTGTCAATTCAAATAAAATGTAGCTTTTTAGAGATTGAATATTTCATGATATCAAGTCATGTTATATAGTACATATCATCATACATATATATTTACATAGCAAGACCAATTTATGCAAACAGCATCTTAATTGTTATCACATCTATCTATGATTGTATAATGTTAATCAATATTATTTAATTATATTTATCAGAAATATATCAAAAGTCCAGCACTAAATATTTATTATAATCAATTTCCATACAGGAAGTATTGAAATGCATATTTTTATGATTCAATGATTACCCGTCCATTATTCTTCAAGTACAATTTTTGTAATATTTATTGTTTTGTTTTAATTTATATTCCTGTAGCTGTAAAAAGTGTTGTAATATTTTTCCAATGTTAGTCTTTAATAATTATATCTACTTATCTGTTTTTATCTTTCTTTATTTTCAATAGCATGTAAAACTTTTTAACTTTTCTAAAACTAATTAAATAAATTTTTCTGTATTAATCCATCAATTCATTTCATGCTTCTTACCATATTACAGATCATCTTTAATTTCTGAATTAAAATTGTAAATTTTTAGGTTTAATAAATCACCAAAATAATTTCACAAAAAAAAATAGTTTCAGTAATTCATCCAAAACTGTTTTTCTG